CATGTCAGCTCCGGTGGGTGTTTCATTTTGGACAATGTTGTATTGTCAGGTGGGCCTAGTTTTGGGCTTCTATTTTTTCAATGAAGTATCTCTGACCACAAATAAGGTTAATAGGGTTACTTTTGCATCTTTTTTTCTTTACACACCATTTACTTTTTTATATAATTTTACTTCTAAAAATATCTTTAATTTTAAAATGAATGACACCACCCCTTTGCATGCAAGGACTATATATATCACTTCTTCAGTGTTTAGAAGAAAGTTTTTTTTTTTTTTTTTAAAAGAGAAGACATATTTTTTAATTTTAAATTAAAAAAATTATATGTTATTTATAATGAAAAATATATTACTAATAAATTAAATTTTTATTAATATATTAATTTATATAATTTATTTTAAAAAATATTAATTTTAAATATATTTATTTAAAATATAAATTTATTTCCTCTCCTTCCCTCCAAAACTTTCCTTTCCAAACATCTCCTAAATCGCTATTCTTAAATCCCACTTTCTTCCTCTACGCGTGTTTCGATTAAATCCTTAGATTTTGCAATTCTGCCACCAACTAAAACTCAATTCTCTCACGGCATCGTTAGATGAAGAAATTATTATTTTTTATTTAATTGTATTTTTAGTTTAATTGAGTGCAGTTTTAAATTTTCAAATTAATTATTTTTTATTTTTGACATTAAAACAAATTTGGCCGCTTTTGAAATTTTAAAAAAAGTGATGATTAAATAAAACAAATTTCACTTCCTACGCACTGTCACTTTGATTTTTAGATCAAAATGAAATATTAAACTCAATAACTTATTTAAAATAAAAAATATACAAAGCAGGGTGCATCCATTTAAATTAAAGTATTTTGTAAATTTAATCCACATATAGTTTTACAATGATATATTATTATTTCGGTTTCGTTGTTTTTTATCTTATTTTTCTAGTTTGAATTATGTGTAATTTTGATTTTTTTTTAGTCAATTAAATATTTCTATATAAAAAATACATAAATTTGGTCTTTCATTTATTTTTTTTACTTTAAACTCCAAATGTTTTTTCACATTTTTGGGAGTTTGTTATGGCTTGAAACGTGAAATAATTTTAAAAGCTTAAAAGCAAAATATTTAATAAAAATTTGATATAATTTTATATAAAAAATATATTATAATTTGAAGAAAGGATATTTTTATTTAATTAAGTTTTATACATCATTGCTAAACAGTTCCGTCGGATTTTGTATGAATTAGAAACGAATACTTAATTTCTTAAAAACAAAGCACGATGATAAAAGAGTGTAAAAACTTGTTATCCAATCGTTAATTTCATGAGTTCTTTTGACACGAATTCATATTTGTACTAAAAGAGATTTTACATTTTGATATTTTAATTTGTTAATTTTAAATATAAGACAATTCATTTAATGTGTATCGATTTTGGATTAAAAATAATAATAATTTAAGAGTTTTAAATAGAAAATTTTCACAAAAGAAAAGTTTTATTAATTGCAAAAATACGTAATTAAAAATATTAATTAACTAAAAAAATCTGACCAATAAAATTTAAAAAATATATAATTAAATCTATTATTTTTTTTATTTTATATACCTTCTCACTTTACATAAACTACAACCCAATATCAAACCTAAAAAATTCATGATAAAAATAAGCGAATATATGGTTCAGTAAAATACATGGATGCAAATAAACTTAAGTTTGAAAATATTTAATTTTATATAATTAATTGTATTTAAAAGTAAGTTTAAAGTGATGTATTTTATATTTAGAAAATTATAAATAAAATTTTATTAAAATTGAATATAAAAATTTAACTTAATATAAAAAATATAATTAATTGAGTTGATAGAAAAGTAAGTTTAGCGACAAAACTAATCATATTATAAAATTAAAGTAAAGATTTATTAACATTTAGGTTAAATTTTTTATAAAATACGAAATTAATTAATTTAATTGTCAAATCATTTTATATTTATAATTATGTATATTAAATTTAATATAATTTAAACATTTATAAATATATAGTATAAATTTTGATATTTTGATATTTTAAAATATATTATATATTGAAATTGTAAATAATAATTAAATTATTTAATTTAAAATTTAACGAAAAAAAAACAATAAGCGATATATAAATTAACACAAAATTCAAATTACATTTGTATTTTAAAACCTGAATTTGGAAGCTTCCTACGCCCGTCCCACCATGCACTAAGATTAGCCATTCGATAAAGTCAATTTATGAATATCGAGATATGGATCATTTCTAAGCCAAAGCTCGTAATAGTCGTTGCTTCCACGGTTCCATTCCACTCAATATTGTCCAATTAAAAATCTAATAAAAAACTTTATAAGTTATGAACAAATTTTATTTATTTATTTATTAAGAAATAATCAGAACTTTTTTTTTCATTTTATTTATCTAAAATTTGAAAAAATAAATTTTTTTAAACTTATAATAAATTTCTTATTCAATTTTTATACTGAATTTTTTTATATATATAATTATCTAAAATTTTATCCAAATCAAAGATAAGTATTAATGATTTATTATTAATGTGTACTATATTCAAGACCTAGGATGGGAAGCCTGTTTATCTTGCATATAATGGCTAGTTTTTATCATTTGATTCTTTTAATTTATGTAAACTTAATATTTTAATATGTATTTATTATTATAAATAATATATAACTTTTAATTTAAAATTAAAAAATGTCATTTCCTATTTTTTAAAAACTTTTTCCCAAATGTAATCTTGACTGAAACTTTTTTTTTGTTTTTACATGAATAGAAGTGTTTTTGTTTTGTTTCTTTCGTTTTCTGCGTTTCCTTTTGGGTGGGCCTTTTTTAATTTTTTGGTGGACGGTGGTCTAAATATTAAAAATGGAAAGTGATAAAAATGGGCTAATCAAAATATGGCCCGTTTAACTTCCGCAATGGTAAATGCTAAAAACTGTTTTTTTTTTTTTTTAAACAAACATATTCTGAGTTTTTGAAATTTTATATACATCAATACAAAATAATTCAACACGACATTGATGATTTATTGTTGTGATATCTTAGAACTTTGCCTCCACATCAGTCTCTCCCAAGACCTCTAAAAAAATCGCAACGATTGGTGTCTCTTCCATTCCCATATATTTTCAACATTTATTATAGCAAGTAAAGAAAAACAAGATTTTTTTACAATATCTATCTTCATCTTCTTGCCCTCAAAATTTTATTTTACGTTAATTTGTTAATAGAAATATTTAGTTTAATTTGAATTTAGCAAAACAAGAAAAAAAGAAGTAAAGATACTATATATATATAGTGAGGATTCATTGACACATAAGTCTTTTTTAAACTTACACTAAATCTTAGTCGTACAAATTAATAATTTAACAATTGAAAAGTTACCTGTTGATTAAACAAAGTAATAAAATACAAACACGTAAAAAGAGATAACTTTTTAACTGTTAGATTATTGATTTGTACGATTAGAATTTGGTGTAAATCTTTTAAATTTACACTTAATGTCAATAAATTATATATATATATATATATATATATATATAATTATGAAGATCTACATTTAAAATTTTTTAAATATTAAACTCAACTAAAAATACGACGGGTTATTTAGTTAAGAAAAAAAAAGAATATTTATGTTCAAATATTTTTTTTAATCTTTGACTCAAAATTTAGTATTGTTCTTCTTTTCATAAATTTTCTATATACTGTAGAAAGAAAGGTAAAGTTCCGAAAAAGTATTTTCGAACTCAAATTTGAATTTGGCTTTAGTAAACTCAAATTACAAGAGGGTAGAGAGTAAAATATAAAAAAAATACAATTACTTGAAATTTCTCCCAAAATAAGTAGATATTGTTTCTGGGGTCATAAATTACTAGGTATCTGTTCGTCACATGTGAATAGGTTTGCACCGGATATAAGGTCAGTTGATTGGTAAAAAAAAGAGGCAAGGAAATAAATGTTTATTATTTTCAGTATTTTTTATTCTCCTCAATTTTTATTATCACAGTTAGTGCTATTGCTGGTGAATAAATTATATATATCTTTTAGGAAATAAAGTATATAGGACCTGCATAAAATCCAAACCACAATAATGAATGAGTTGTTCAATCTTTTCTTTATGCAAAAACCAACAATTTTTTAGCTGTCATTCAGGTAAATTGAGTCTAACATTTGTTGGAACCAGTTGACTTTAGCTAACCCTTAATCGTTTGTCATGGGTCTTCGCATGGTTACTTTGTTGATTTTTTTTTATTATTCATTAAAAAAGAATATATAAAAATATTTTAAAGAAAGTCTGTTTACTTATAACTGTGTTTGACAACATGATCAAATGAGAGTAAGATTAATTTTTCATGTATTAAGCAACATGATCAAATGCAGTTGGAATTAATTATAATTGTACGAAATTCCTTGCGAGGTTGAAAATTTAATTTGATGAATACAGAACTTACTTCAAACATGATTACATTTTGTACTTGTTTTTTCATTAATATTTTTTATTACACGTTGCATGAGGGAATTGAAGAACAGTGGAAATGAAATTAAAAGGTTTATAAGATGTTGTTGTCATGGGTCCAGCTTGGTGTGTGTGCCGTTAGATTTATGCAATTCTGCCCGCCAACTAAACTAAAACACCGAAAGCGCAGAAGAATTCCAAATAAGCAATAGAATAGAATATATTATTACTATAAATATGTTATTATTACTATTACTATAATATTTATATAAATATATAAAAGACAAGCGTGAAACCCACTCAGCTGAAAAATCAGTCTCTCCCTTTCACCTTTCTCCATAGCCTACCACTTTTCTTCTTTCTCTGCTTTCAGCTACTCTCTCTTCTTCACTTCTTCACACACAGAGAGAGAAAGAGAGAACAAAAAAAAAAGGGAAGATGGGTGTGAGACTGTGCGTTTTCTTTTTATAATGAACAAAGGACTACGCACCCTCTTCTTCACTGAAGAAGATGGCAATTCAGCATCACAATGACCAACTAGAACCCAGCGAAAATGTCTCATCTGTTCTTGATGCCCTTTATTGTGATGAAGGAAGATGGGAAGAGGAAGAGGAGGGACAAGAAGAAGAAGATGAAGAAAGTGATGTGACAACAAACAATGATGGGGTGCACCACATGGACACTTCTTCTCTTTTTCCTATCCTATTGTTGGAGCAAGACTTGTTCTGGGAGGATGAAGAACTAAACTCACTCTTCTCCAAAGAGAAAGTTCAACAAGAAGGATCCTATAATGATAACAATGTGCACTTTGACTCCTCTCTCTCTCAGCCTCGTCGTGAGGCTGTGGAATGGATGCTTAAAGTCAATGCTCATTATGGATTCTCAGCTCTCACTGCAACACTGGCTGTTAGTTACTTGGATAAGTTCCTTCTAAGCTTCCATTTTCAAAGAGAGAAGCCATGGATGATCCAGCTTGTGGCTGTCACTTGCATCTCTTTGGCTGCAAAAGTTGAAGAAACTCAAGTGCCTCTACTCTTGGACCTTCAAGTAGGTTAAAAACATAACTTTGTTTTCATTTGCTTTCATCTTAGATATCTCATCACATCACACATGTCTGGTCATGGTGTTGTATTTTTCAGGTGCAAGATAGCAAGTATGTGTTTGAGGCAAAGACTATTCAGAGAATGGAGCTGTTGGTGTTGTCTACCCTCAAATGGAAGATGCACCCTGTGACCCCACTCTCATTTCTAGATCACATTATAAGAAGGCTTGGATTGAAAAATCATCTCCATTGGGAGTTTCTCAGGCGCTGTGAGCATCTTCTTCTGTCTGTGCTTTTAGGTAAGCCTTCAGAAAAGAATGACTAGTCTAGTCCTCAATTCTCACTCTTTCAGATACACCATTATTGAGTTGACTAAAAAAATTTCAACTTTTCGATCAGTACAAAGAATAAATGAGAATTCTGTGTTGATTTTCTTATCATTTGATATGCGTGTGTTTTGTTGAATCTAGATTCAAGATTTGTTGGTTGTCTTCCTTCTGTGTTGGCCACTGCAACAATGTTGCATGTTATAGACCAGATTGAGCACAGTGGAGGGGTGGAATACAAGAATCAGCTTCTTGATGTTCTCAAGATTAGCAAGGTTAGTGCATGGATCAGGATGTCTTAGTGTTTGTTTTAATTAGTTAATAAGAGTAGTTGTTTATTTAACATTACTCTGAACTACATTACCATGAAAGCACGAGCATTATATAGATGACTAAGTAAAAATAATTAAATGCACATCATAAACACATTATTTGATCTTAGTTACTCCTCTGAATGTTGACAGGAGAAAGTAGATGAATGTTATAATGCCATTCTCCAACTCTCAAATGTGAATAATAATTATGCTAATAACAACAATGGGAAGCGGAAGTATGAACAAATCCCTGGCAGCCCAAGTGGCGTAATTGATGCTGCTTTTAGTTCTGATGGTTCCAACGATTCGTGGGCAGTGGGGTCATCATTATATTCATCACCAGAGCCTCTGTTCAAGAAGAGCAGAACCCAAGGACAACAAATGAAATTGTCACCACTTAACCGGGTCATTGTCGGAGTTGTTGGCACCTCTCCTTAATACCGTTTTCTCTCTCTCCTTCACCAAAGAAAGAACCCAAAAAAAGATCTTATATTTATTTACTGCGGTAATTAATCTTTCCATGCATGTTGCTAAACTATAGTGCCTTCTTCTCTGTTATCCATTTCTTCATTTCCAACAATGTCCCACATTGGCACATTCATTTACATCTCTTGAAGAGGCAAGGTGATTGATTCAGGAAGGAATGGTCTTTCAGGGAAGAAGAGGACACAGTTGGCAATGAAGACTATTATCTGCACTCTATAATATGTTTAAGGCACTTTCTTTTTCTTCAATTGGTCTCTTATAGACCATACCAAATTTGGACATATTTATATCATATTTTCTATAATAAATTGGGAACAATTTTGTTCATTTGTATATGGTTTTATTCACTCTTCCTTGTGTGCTTCAATCTTTGGATGGAGGGCTACTGTGACATAAAGATGGGAGTCCCAAATGGTCCACCCTAAGCTTTTTACCATTTATTTTCTTATTATATGGTTTTTATGAGGAAAAACCACTCAGAAAGAACCAGAAAAAGAAGGGTTTTTGGCCACATTAAGAAGAGGGTTTTGTTTGCATGTGAAGGGGGAAGTAGTTTGTCGGCCAGTGGGGTTCTGATGGAAGGGTTTTGGTTTCTTGATTGGGGGATTGAGTCTTTTGACCTCGTAACAAGGGCCAACACTTGGTCTTATAATATTGAACTCACCCTAATCCTCTATATAAACCTAACCCCTAGCCTACTGAAAACATCAACTATTCATTATTCATTAGTCCTAAAACTACAACCACTTTGTGAAGGGCGGGAACAATAGCATGGCTTGTGGGGCCCCAAGTCTTGTATATTCCTAGTCAATTATACATGTATTTTGTAGAACATATAGTTGCCTTTGCCTGTCATTTTTTCGGAATATTAAAGTAAGATAGCATTAATTAAACATATCGTACTACATTAGAACCTTTTGGTTGGAAACTTCAATAGAGTTGTTATATTGTGCAATATTAATTGCATACCCTTCCTTCCACACAATCTTCGAAATTCTCATACACGAGGGAGGCTTGTAAGGACGGATATACTTTCTTTATTTTAATTTAAATTTTAAAGCCGAGTTATAAATGCTTGCTGGTCGGCTCCTCTACATCTCTGCCAATCCACAAATCATAGGACAAGAGATGATAAAGATTTTTGGTTCAATGAATCAAATTAAATTCTTAAAATTTATAACCACTTTTCAATCTTTCATCGTACAATTGTAATTATAATATCAGAACGTTTGATTTTAAATATTTTATGTACTTGTTATAAATGAGGGAGGAATGACTGTGGAGTTCGTACTAATAAGAGGTTTTAAAAAATTAATTTAAAAAAGATATTAGTTATATTCATTAATTTGTATATTATCTTCAGCAAAGAGATAAAAAAAATAAATTTTTTTTTATTCAGTTTGAATTGAATAACCAACCTACTTATCCTTTTTCCATAAATAACTTTCAGAATGATCATTAACTGGTCTGTAAATTCCCTATTATGTTTTTGTTTCTTTCTGATGTAATCGCTGTAAATACACATCATAACTTCATATTTTTTTAAAAAAATAATAGATAAATGTATATTATAAGGCAGTAAAAAAAATGTGTTAAAAAAATTTACAAAATTATAATTTTGTTACAGTATTTAGAAACCAAGTTTGGAGGTCTATGAAGTTACAAACCATTTTCGAATTAGTCTTGCTGGTTTCGAACTGTGATTAGTTGTCACACTTTATCTGTTGAATTATCATGTCTAATTGCACAACAACTTATGCACTTGCCGTCAACAATAGGAGACAATTGATTAATGGTGTTTATTATAGCACTAATGACAAGCAGAAAAACATACCGAAGAACATGGAGAAACACTTTTACAACTAATTCAAAGTAGTGGGATTCATTGCATTAACTTTTTAATACTTATGCAACCTTTGCTTTGTTAGTCGATAGTTGGATTTGACTAACTATGATTAAGTGGACACCCTTTTTAAAGAAACAAGAAAGGTGACATACCCCATGTGGATAACATTCCGTAGACCTTCCCTTTCTCTAAATTGCGTGGAGATTTTATTTTTCTTTTTGTTTTTCTTCCTACCCCTTTTTCTTTTATGAATGCAAAGATTCATGATGATCATTCTAGTGGATTCACTATAGTGCATGCTTCACCTTTTGGTTGTTCTCTTTGCTTTTTTTTAATTTTTTTTTAATTTTTTTTGTCTTTGTTCTCGTGTGAAAATAAAAATAAAGTTCATTCTGCTTTTTTCACGTGTATAACACAAATAATATCTATAAAGACAGTGTATGTAAAAATGCCTGGTATATGAGCATAATGGAACGAGAATAACACATCTTGGTTTAGTGTTTTAGAAATGTTTTTTCTCTGAGCAGTTTAAATTAAAGGGATATTAAACAATGCCATATTTGTATGTTTCCATGAAATGGAGTATGAGGAGTGAACATGAAAAGATGTAGAATTATAATGCCTTTGGTTTTATAGGTGGCATTGACAAAACACCCACTAATTGTAAATTATGATAGAATGCATAAAGGGAGAGGATTTTATTATGGGAGACAAAATCTGATTTTGTAGGAAGATTGTCTCTGGTTTTATTTATATTTTTCTCTACTTTAAGTTTGGTAGGTAATAGATAGTACCATATGGATGCAAGCGATCATGACTTCACGAGTCAGAAGGAGAAAAACTTAAGAGGGGAAAATGTTTTTCCAAAAGGAAACAGCTTACTCCAAAGGACCAAAGGTTATGAGATCAGTAATGTATGCCCCCACACCAATAATTGTAGAATAATATGATGCCTTGGGGCTTAGCTTGATGATTTTGAACTTTATTTTTTGACCTAGTCTCATCCATTATTTAATTAATTCAAATGAATACAAATTTGGGCTAAAACCCCTCAATGTAATTTTCCTATGCTCTTTTCTTGCTTACAGCTGTAAAGTATAAAAGAATAATAAAAGAGGACCATATATGCATGTGGACCCCCCCTCCTCTTTCTCTCATGTTTTCTGCATGGCAAAGGTTTTTCTTGAGTATATGTAAACAACTGCTTAGGCTGCACAATAAAGCATACTCTTTAATTTTTTGATAATATAGCCGCTTCATAGCTGTAGCCGTATCTACTTGTGGAGAGCTCCCCAAAATGATACAAATCATCCCACTCTAATCATTAATAAGGATGCTGCTATTTGTTAGAAGCAGAACTGAAAACTGAAAATATCATAAAAACAATTAATGGTGACTAATTTGTTAGTACTTGTCAAAGATTATGATAAATCTTACTGTTTCACTCCATCTCTAACAGAAACTTCATTTCTAGTTGCCAAAAAATAAGGGAAAACAATAATGTTAGGATTTCAACACCCCAGAAAATGTAATGTTAATATAGTATTTATAGTTTGATCGGTTACATTCTAACTCATAAGTTTGTATATGCATTTAATTAGATATTGAAGGTATTAGTGCTAGAAGAATGCATCATACCACAAGATGATGTTAATATATTTTATAAATCACAAAGAATTCCTAGGTGACCAAATTTCAAGTTCTTCACTTCAATATATGATTTTGGGTTTGCTTATTTTTCAGTTTAAAAAATAATTATCACACTTTTTAATACAAAATCCATATTTTAAAAAAATAATGGTTCAAATTAATTTATACATGTATCTCAATTACTTTTCATGATTCAGAATTAATAAATGAATTTTATTACATTTTAAATCAAAGACCCGGGGCGAGGGGGGGGAGGGTTCAACTTCCCTTGGCACTTTCAAAGCTAATTTGTGTTATTCACCCAAATCAGATGAAGCAGGGAAGAATTTGACAGTTTCATGACAAAGACAATCTGGACCGGCAGCGGTAATCCATTCTAAATTAAGGTAATAAGTCACATCATTTTGCTATAATTTTAGTTATTATGTGCTAAATCAACTAAAAGATTGAAGTCAACATTTTAAAGTAAGTAAATTCTTCAACGATTTGAAGAAAAGTTTTGAAATCCATGTCTTTACCTGCCTCCCAATTGAAATTCGTTACCAAATCTTTTGTTGCCAATAATAATTTCCTATACACAGTTCTCAAGTTATATATAAATTTTAAATAATTCATCACAGCTTAGATAATTTTCTAGTCTTCAACATCAGGTAAGGTGAAAAGGGAAAAAACATGTAAACAAAAGTGGTGTTCCTGTGGTGAGTTTTCAAGGGTTAGTTATAAGTGAGAGAATGTCAAATATGCCATTTTATTCTATCTGAAAAGCAGAAAAAAATGCTGATTCTTTACATTTGACACGATGATCTTTTCAAGTTGATGTAAAGCTGCTGCTAGCACAGACAAATTTACACCCAACTACGTTCTAAATCAAGGTGTTGATGTGCGCTTCTCAAACTCTCAAGGAACTATCCAAGATTCATATGGTCCCAAATACCAATGGGATTCCAAGCAGTTGATGCTTCACTATTCTGAATGGCCCCAATGGATCAGAAATGGAGGCCCCAAAACCTCTGTCAACTAGCATTTTCACACCTAATGCGTGAACCAAATTATTATCATAACGTTCCATTTTTAATTGTTTCAGTTAATGTTTGCTACCAGCAATCGGCATCCAATGTGCTAGGAATTGATCCTATTCTAACTGGCCACCATCACCTCAAGCAGAGACAAAAATGCCAACACTAGAAACATAATTAGATTTGGCCATGTTATACTGAAATTGTACGAGAAAATTCATTATGCCATACATATATTAATGTGTACAAACACTATGTACATCGCTACATGTTGTTTTGAATTGAACCCAATTTCAGAAGTTGCAACATTGTGGTCCAAACTTCAAACATTTTAAATTAAGCTTCTATAACATTTGAAATCATGTTGGAAAAATTAGCGCTAGGATGAGAATTTTTTTTACCTTTTCTGAACATTTTAGTTATAAAAATATAACATAATTTTCATTTTATTTCTTATTTTTCAAATATTTATATAAAACAGATAAAAAATAAGGATAAAAAAATATTTTCACTATTTATTGAATAGATCTTTAAAAGTAAAAAAATTAAAATTTTATAATTAAAAGTAAAAATAAATATTTTCTTAAACTAAATTGGCACTTAAGTTGTGTAAGTGGAATAGGTTTGAGCTGTGATGAATAGTGCCAATCTCTTCAGGAGGTTCTAGCCTCAAGGCTAGTAAATTAGAAATTGATGAAGATGTAATTGGTGAGCTGGACTACTCTAATAAATAGGGGACTTTATTCAGTAGTAAACATTAAATGAACTGAGCACAAGTTCTTTTATGATTGTATGGTTTTATTACCTACTTAGAATAACCAAGTTCAGAAGATCAATAAATTGAGGAAAGGATTTGAGGTTACTAGTTTGGAAGCTCATAGTAGGACACCTAAAATAATAATCTTCTTGGCGCCTTAATGGGGTACCCCACCATATTTATGTTATGTCTTATATGGAAAAGAAAACGTTTATAAGGGAGAAGTAGACAAGTAGCATTGAATACCTAAACAAAAAGGCAGAAACAGTGATGCATTTAGGTGGTCCAATTCGAAGACACGAGGGTGCCTTGCTAAATCTCTTTCCCTCTCTTCTAACAAGGAAAAATTTAATGTTAAGCATAGTAGGATGGAACCCTTTAAGGGTCTCTTGGGTTCCTTTACAAAGTCAGAAGAAAAGGACAAGTGAAGTTTTTGATGTTTTCAGGGGCCAGCTATGAACCCCAGCATGGCTTGTGTCCCAAATCTGTGAAACTTGGCTGCCATGTCTGCCTTATCAGACAAAGATTTGGGTATCTTGTGACAGGCAAGAGTGACCCTAGCACTATCACCACTCAACTTCTCAAAGCCTTAAGACACTATCCAACACTGAAAGGCAATGCTCACTACTTGACAAGTGATAAAATATGAACACCCTAAATGTGACCTTATCTGTGCTAATCACCTTAAAGTCTTTGTTCCTTGTACAAATCACTGTTGGTATATAGCGACAAGTAGAGGACACTAACAAATACACAAAACAAAACATGCACCGTGTGTTATGTACGTAGATCGTGAAAAGTCAAATTCTACTACGGTAGTAAATGTTTTGAAATGAAAAGTATCTTCTATAGAGAAGGTTGTTTCTATTCTTACAAATGAGAGAAACAATAAATGCAACAGCTCGTAGGACAGATACGATCAAGCAATTAATCTTATTTTTGTGTATTTAAATTGAAATATTTTTATTGTGTTTTTTCAAAATTTAATTTTTGATCGAGTCCAAGACATTGTTTAACGTATGTAACCACCCACTCAATTAGTTATACAAGGCTTTGGTTATTGCTATTGTACAAGGCAACCAAGAACATAGCAATTAATCATTCTGTGTGCATGCAATATGCATTGACTTTGGTTTACTTGATAATATAGAGAAAGTCTCCTTAGGCTTGGAACTTTTACCAATCCTTGGAACTTTTACCAATCCATGTAATATTAATTAAAATCAGTTATTGTATGATCAGAAAAGGAGAATTGGGATGATTTCAGATATGGTCCAATGAGTTATGAGGCATTGCCTGCAGGTCGTGTTACTCGACCCACATGGCACAATTCATCACAGAAAGATAGAACCCGTGACTCTTTCCATGGTACATTTTTAGCTGTTGTGCATCATAGTATGTCAGTAGAAAAATCTCAAATTCCAGCTATGACAATAATTGGGTAAAAAATAGGTGCACAAAGTGAAAAGCCAAGGATTTGATTTTGGTTCAACTCTTCCTTTCATTTGGGAATGTAAGATTTTAAGATCGAGGAATGAATGATGACACCAAAAGTAACTGCAGCACAATAAAAAAACAAACAAGCTAATCCTGAATAGTAGTAGGTAGAGCCGTAGAGCAGTTCCGCTTCACTGCCAGAAACTGAATCACTAATATAGAATGATCATTCTTCAATTTGACTAACACTTTGTTAGAACTTGGAAATTCATCTTGTTTTTTTCTTGTCCTTTCCATATATTAATCTTTAGTATTCACATTTATTCGAAGATTGAAAGAACTTAATTGGTCAGAAGTGAGTTCTGTTACAACTTTTATGATCAATATAAGCAAAATCTCCTACAAATTCATGAGAGGGCTTAATTGGACCAATATATTCAATGCATTTATTTCAACAGGCCAGGCTTGCCCATAACTCTAGCTTCCTTCATCACTTCATCATCATCATTAGTGTATGCCACTGGCTGTGTCATGCCCCACACATCCTAAGGCAATACATCCAAAGATTTTCATGGGGCCATATTAGAAATTTATTCTATATTTAATAATTTGTTTTAAACAAAAAAAATGGAGAACTCAATCTTACACAGAATAATACTGCATCAAACTTTCAAAGAATGAAAATATATATTGTACAGATCTCTTGTATGTTAGCCAAGTAAAATCATATTTGATTCTTTTCAGGAGTTCTCGTCCTTTGATATTAAAACATGCAACAAAGGCTGCACTCGTACTTGCATTATCTTCGTAGCCAAATGAGTGAATTGAGCAAAACAACAGTTCAATATTTTTAGAATCATTGGACTCAGTGTTTTATCTCATTTGTGCAGTTTTTTCTGTGATCAAGATTCAATGGTAGGTTATCATCCTATATATATATATATATATATATATATATATATTATGAATAATAGGGTGTAAATGCACGCCAGATGTGAAATGCAATGATGATCCTAAATTCCAGTGTGAAAACTTTCAGCACACAGTAGATCAAAGATCAAATCATAAAAGAAAAAGCAACTTTTGTCGTTCAAGATGATTAAATGATTCCAGCAGAAACTTCTGTTTATAAAGCAAGTCAAATTAAAAGACAACAATGTTTTTAAACACCACCCTCCAACAAAAATAAAATAAAATATTAAGTTAATTTTTAAAATTATAATTATTGATAATCTTAATATTTAAAATTGTAAAAAAAAATCTTGAAATTAATAATTATTTATCATTTTAATTCTTAAATTTAATTTATGATTTTGACAATACTAAATTATTTTAGTTTTAAACTTTAACGTGCATTAGTCAATTTAGTCACTTTATCATGCATCAATTAATTTGCTCTCTAACGTTGGACCAAACAAAGACCAAAATGATGATGATTGTCAAATTCAAGAATTAAATTAACTGAATTTGTAATGTTGAGACCAAATTGACCAGAGATATTAAATTTTAAACATTACATCGATTGATAATTGTTAAAGCTAAAGAAAAAATGTGTTTTGATATGAAAAACTAAATTGATTAGTGTTAATACAGTGTAGATTATGTTATTTTTAAAAAAAATTAAAAGCACGTTATCTAACTCTCAAATTTCAAATTTATCTAAGTAGACGAAGGTTGTGCAAGGTATGGAATAGACAAGTGTTGGGTGACAATAGCATAAGCAGAAAACAAAAGGAAGTAAAATTAAGTGCCACATCTTTCCATGATAATATGTCTATTTTGGTCGGTACCACTCTCGAGGGATCAACGAATGCTACCTTCTGGAAAAGGTCTGACAGTGATTGAGAGATGAAGAGGGAGGTGAGTTGATTGATTTGAATTTCACATTGGTAGCCGTGGTAGTGGAGCCTTTCAACAATAAGATTATATTACCATAGTTTAAATGATATGGAAAAAGTTCACACAATGTGGCCACGTATTTAGATCTCTACAGGGTCAGAATGCAGGCGTACATTGATCAGAACATAACATAACGGCATGCATGCGTTTGTTCAATCGATCAGAGGCGTCAAGCTCTGCTCGTATACTTGTGAATCCATTAACGTACTGCAGCCTCTGCTGCCACTAGATAGTAGATTTGGGAACCAAACCCGTCATTGTGAACACTGAACTGAGACCAATATACGCAGTTATTTTTACCGTATTAATTTTAATTTTTTTATTCTAAGTAGTCAAAAGCGTCTGGGAATTATCTATATACAATTTATTTATTGTTATTATTATTATTATTATTATTATGCGCTTGTTTTAATAACTGTAAACATAAGCCACCAAAGTTTATGCACAATATTGATACTATCTTGCTCTATAAGCATGCTGCATGCCACTTGTACAATTTATTCAGTTACAATCAAGAAGATAAACGAGGACCAAGTTTGAAGTGCTTATACTAGGTGCAAGTTATCTACGTACAATTTTTTTTTTTTTTCTTTTTCAAAATGACAAGAGTTCAGGTGTTTATGCATGTTTCTAAGGAGGGTAAGCATAAACCACTGCCAATTTGATACTATCTTGCTTCATAAGAACACTGCCAATTTATTCGCGTCCAACCTAGCATACAAAAGAAAACCATATTCGGCGTAATGCTAAGATTGCTGCAACCCTCTTACATACATAAACCCCTGATGATATGTATTTAGTACAGCATTCGAGACAGTACTGTTACCTCCAGCGATTTCAAGATGCTGTGTTAGCTATTGACTGAATAGAAGAATTCACTTCTTTTTATATAATTCACCCCAGAAACTACAAAATCTGGGGTTTGGCGAAAAAGGATGCAACAAGAAACAGAAGGTCGGCCACCTCAAGCTCACTTGCACTAATTTTTAATCAGAATGCATCGTATTGGTGATCCCTCAGCACCAGACAACCTAAGAGGTAAGCAATGGACTGAATATAATCCTGCTGGGACATCATCAAGTTTCAGGCCTTCCACGAGAACGATTTCCTGAAGCATTGCAGTTATTAGTTCAGGTCATGTTGATTCTGATTTTTATCCAAGAAACATGATGCGTTTTCAATCTTTGTTTATGCAAGGAAAAATCTGAAGACGCAAAGTAGCAATCTCATTTCAAACTGCATCTTGCACCAATTAATAGCAATTATATTTCAAACTAAAAAGCTAAATATTTTATCAGAAACAAAGACACCATATCAACCACAAATAGGGATTGATATGGAGACAGTGAGACAACATTTTAAATTGAGAAAATAGTAAGGTAATGAATTAATGGCTATGAAACGCTTCAAAAGTAAAGGTGACTGAAGTAATTGTTCGTTGACATGTACTACGCAAATTACTATTTTTCAGGAACCTATATCGGTTGGGTCAAACCAAAGCTTCCACTGGTGAATAGAACCCACCACAAATACAGAGATTAAAAATTATTTTATTGGTACTATGACCATAATGGCCTAAAGATGTGATTCGTTTTAACTCAAAAAGGGTAGGGGATCATTAGTAAGTTAGTAACCAATAGTGAAATATAACACAACAACTATCATCCACGAAAGGAACTTTTCTTACCCTGTCTTTTAAAAAAACAAGGTGAGATGGAATCAAGTAATCGTAAGCAGCAACAGATAGGTAATCAATTCCTACATTGCATCATAAGAGAAAAAAGTTAGATAACACAATTGAGAAGAAAAGAAAATAACTATGTGAAAAGTCGAAGAAGAAAGAAAGGGGGTAGTTTGGTATGATTCAGCTAAGCATGCATTGAAGATGCAAAAAAATTATTGCAACATTGTGCAGCCCAAAAACTGGTTCTGAGTTCTCAGAGTTAAAGATGAGAGAAAAACAGAGAAATTACTAACAAAGAACTCAAGAAGAGAATTCTCCTTTCAAGGTTTTTCCCTTCACAAAAGGGTTGCTCCTTTCACAACAGAACCAACCTTTTCTCACTTTTCAAATCTAAATTCCCAAATACCTTTCTTCTACCTTTCTCTGGCTATTTAAGCCCAATCCCCTGGGCCTAACTATCTATCCCTTTGATAGATTCTAACTGTAACTAACTAAACAGACACTCAACCATCTAACTACCGCTGACCCTGTTCCTATTTGTTCTGCTAGGTCCTATTAATCACTGTGATCTAGATCAAGGAAAAAGGAGGTCAAGATTCAGAGTAACCTTCTGAAACAATTTCACGAGCCATAATTCTCATAAATCAATATCAACAACAAATGAAACAGTGAAACATACAGTCACCTGTTAAGATTCAAGGAAACTAGTTAAATAGTTCTATTGTAAACAAAACAAACTAATTGCAATGCTGCACTTCCAACGTCAAATAAATCCTGCAATAGATAGAGGCACCATAATGATAAAGGCACGTCACGTCCAGCTCACTAGTTTGCCCATACAGATGGTAAAAATTATTCTGCCCCTTCATTTTAAAAAAGGAAAAAATTATAGCTATTTATCTTATTAAAAGCAAGAAAATGGACCAAATATTCATGTTATCTAATTATCTTGCATGACATGTATGAAAAACCTATGAACTCAAAGAGTTAAACACTATAATTTTAAGGATCAGCAGTTACAAGCGCAAAACTAACCCAGCCACTAGACTTGGGAGATATGACAGAAAAAAATGCCCATGGGAAACAGCAGCCAAATATAGAAAAACAACTTATACCTACCTACAAGTTTAATATCAGTGTTCTCCACTAGCCATTTAGCTCCATCCACCGTGAATCCTACATAGCTTGTAACCCATTCCTTCTGAAACATAAGCCGCCTAAAAGTTTAACCAGTTTTAGTTCAATATTTGGCATCAGACGAGCTACGACGTTCAAAGATTGTGAAAATGATATCATAGGTTTCACATTAAGGTTAAAATCTCAAGATCTAAGCATGCATATATGTGGATTATCAAGGTCTATATGAACTGTACATACTAGATATCGCAGCTTGTACAACATAACTATGTTTCTTTTTGCTTAAGATCTCATCATGCATATATGTGGATTATCAAAATTTCAAGCATAAACGGTATTTCTTGAAATTGTATAATCTTTAAAAAATGTTGTAATGCTCTCTAAAGCAGTACCAATCATTACAAATTACCTGTCAGTATTCAACGTTCGGAAAAGTACACGTTTTACACCCCTTGGAATATTTAACGATTCCATAACTTCAGCTGAGAAAGAAAAATATATTTTCATTTGATAAAAAAATTAACAAAATCTAATTTTATAAGCAGAAAGTTGCTTATGAAAAGAAAAAGAAAAATGGATACCAGTTATATTACTATGTCTTGGAACATCGATTAACAGAGCAGGACCTGCATACAGTAACAAAATTAATAATCAATGAGCAATATGATGATAAAATATTTACAGAAAAGAAAAAGAGAAGAAGACCATTAAGGATGTGTAAGTCGAGTGAGTCGACGTCGAAGCCGGCATCGAAGTAGTGGTCGAAGACGTGGCCGGGGGCGTCAACGTGGGTGCCGGTGTGGGTTGGAAGCTTCATTTCAGAGTTGTTAGCGAGGGACCCGTTCTTCATGCTCTTTGGAAGCCATAGGAACTGCCCGATGCCATCATTTGAATCCCATTCTGGCATTTCGGGTTGGTACCTGTGACTGATGTCGAAAATTCGACCATTATCGTACACCTCCCGCCGAGGAGGGACGAGGTTGTCGTCGCCGTTCGCCGCCAAGATAGCGACGGCCAAGGCGCAAACAATCAATGACAACGCTTCACACTGCATCGTTAGATGGGTATTTTTCCGTTCCTTGTTTCTAAGAGCAAGAGGGAGATGCTACTTCCTAGTCCAGTAAACAAAAAATTTTCGATAGTTTCTCATTTTATAAAATATTATTTATTTGAAAATAATTTATATTTTGTAATATTAAAGATGAATAAAAAATAAATTTTGAAACCTTATACAATTTCAAAAATAAATTAAATTTAAGAGCTTACTCTCTTTTTTTTTTTATCATTTTTTTATATTTTATTTGGATTTTTCAGGAATATATTTTCAATTTAACTGATATACACAAAAGAAAATATTTTTAAACTAAAAAATATACCAAAATTAAACTCAACACTTTTTATATAAAAAAACCATTTTTTTTTAAAATTTCAGAGTGCCTTTTTACATGTATATATAAAATAATAAGTAAAAAAATAATTAATTATTCAATATTTAAATAATAAAAATATTTTATAAAATATTTTCATTTAAGTAAAGCAATTTTAGTCTCCAGTTTTTGTAAGTCATTTTTATTTATTTATTAACTTAGTAAACATTTTATCCCCGTACTTGTTCAAATATATTTCTCAATACTTTTACAGTCTAACATTTATAATAACTAACAAAATTGCCTATCTATCATACTAAATTTTAACCTAATTAATTACACTAAAAAATTACGTGTCTTTTATAAGAATAGTTATTCAATTTTTCAAATTCATCTTGTATGACAAAAATTTAAAGTTAACATATTTCTTGTTTGTCTTAAACCTCCCTTACTATCTATTGTTGAACCACCAACACAACCGCAGTTGAAGGTTAGCATGCGAAAAAGATATTTAGTGTATAATGTGAATAATTCTATTAACTAGTATTGTTGTCTAACATCAGGAACTAATATGATAAATATTTCAACATTTTAGAACCTAACATACAGTATTAAGTTAATAATAAAACTAAAAACAAAACTTACAACGTTAAATACTAAAATGATGATTTATTAACAGCTTTTTACTTTATTTGAAAATTTTTAATATATTAGAATAGTACAAATCCGAATTCAAAGCGGAATAGAATAAATGAATTAAAATGATCATATTTTAAAGAAATTATACTTTTAATCACTCAGAAAATTTAAATAAATTTTTTTGAAGTGAAAATTTTAAATGTTATAACAAGTCCACTCATTATAGCATATGAGATGCTTGTTAATATTTATTACAAATAACAGGTCGGTGTATTATTGAGAATGAACATGCATGTGCTGTTTTAAGTGCAGATCAGTAGGTCTTTTTTATATTAAATATTCGTCTTTTATTGAAATAAAATTCTAATCTTAATTGAAAAAAAATAGTAAAAATACTTAAAAAGAGTCGTACCCAAGTTTTGTCCATGTTGAAAACACTAGTTTATTACAGGTGCAAACTCTAGTCCGCCGCTCAAGTTTAATCACAATAATTGATAACAACAGATACTTAGACAAGCGCTATCTAGTATTTTCCAACTCAAGCACGCAAAAAAAGACTATTCAACACACTACCATCAACTTAGCTGAATCAAACAGCTTCTTGTGCACACCACTAATAATCTCCTGAGCTGGGTTGTTTCCTGCGGCAGTTTCATCCTTCAGCATCAGCATTTGACTTAATAAGCATAATGATAATGCAGAGAAAAAATATTGAACAAACGGAACAACCCCTTGTACGTTCATACCGTGCAATTGAAAACCAGCTTTGACCACCACAAACGCACATGGATCCCATTATCTGATCAGAATGCATCGTATTGGTGATGCCTCAGAACCAACCAACCTAAGAGGCAAGCAGTTGAGTGAATATATTCCTGCTGGGACATCATCAAGCTTCAGGCCTTCCACAAGAATGATTTCCTGATGCAGTTGATATTTGTTAGTGCATTACTTATTGATGCCAGTTCTGATCAGTTGCATCTCCTACTGATTAGAACTACAATTATCTTTGCAAATAAACTAAAAACACTATTTTCCAAGAGGCAACAGCCTCTCGGATAAGGATGCTAATGCCTACAAATCTGGATTACTTCATCAACAACTGAACCCAAAAAAGGTGGACTAAGGTTGGAACATTAAGTAAAGATGAATCAACTGAAGTATCCATTACGAACAAACAAAAAGCGTAGGCTGAGCAGTAGAAACTAACATTCTCTGCTGATAAAACCTGACCAGCTATAAAATTCTATTAAGAACAACAGAGAAAACTAGAAATAGTGAAGTGATTAAGTGATACTTAAGTTCCATGATATTTTCAAATAATCAATAAGTCTGTGGTCAGACATAATAGTACGTCAATTTGACAGACACAAGTGCAAAAGCAATCCAATACAAATAGCTATTTTCCCTGAACACGACATCAAATTATTCAGGGAAATTCATTTGATAATTTGATATTGCCATCATCTAGCTGAAAATGAAACTTTAAATATCCAACCCACCATTACCAAAACATGTTTGAAAGTAAATAATCCAGAATGTGAGGCACTAACGAATACACTTTGGCCCATAAGATCTTATTTGTAGTTTTTATTGTTTTCCAAAACAAGATAGTATGAGTGATTAGCTAATTAATAGTGAGGAGTAACTAGTGCATAATTTTTTGCCATAAGACAAATAACTTCTTACCCTGCTTTCCAGAAAAACCAGATGAGATGGAATGGAGTGATCGTAAGCAGCAGCAGATAAGTAATCAACTCCTGCCATTTATATAACCAGAAATCGAAAATAGTACAATAACAACTTTCACAAGATAAAAATATATAACTAGCATAAAATTGGAACAGCAAAAGAATTCCACTGAAGCTGTTCCATTTTACAAGAAGTTAACATTGAATTTAAAATATGCAGTGGGGGTCTAAAAAAGTGCATGCCAATTTTCTATTATTAATATTATATATAGAAATGAGAGATAGAGAAGAGAATGAGGGAAAATTGCTCTGTCATCAGCACATTTAACCCTAAATTTTAATTTTATATTGTTCAATGTTCATTGCCTAAATTTGATATCTCCTAGACACACGCTTTTAGTATTTAGTTCTGTGGAACAAAAAAGGGCTACACATATAAAGTAGCCACAATGAATAATAGTTCAAATTAATTCACAAATTGAAGAAAACTGAAAAAAAAAAAAAAAGAGTGAAGCACTGAGGTGCTAGGTTACACAACACATGTCTAGGATAAAGTGATGCTATCACAACAATGAACTTCTTCTGTGACTATGTTGGTATCAGGGGATACAGGTAAACAGACTGCTGAACTAAAAAATTCAAGGGCAATGAATTTATAATTCTTAGGCCTCGTACAATTACCAAGGTGTGCATTTAAAAGTATAGAAAGGCAATGATAACTAATATCCTACACTGCAGGTGAAAAAGTGGTGCAAATAAACATTCCCACATGACAGCCAAGATCAATAATTCATTATACAAGACAAGAGAAACGGCCAGAACAGTAAGTCTAAGAGTGTAACAAGGGAAACTATATAAGTAAATCACTCACGATATTAGATGATGAAGTGATTAGAATATTGATCTAAAAGATAAATATAACCGAAAAAAAATTAAAAATGCAGACAAAGATATGGAACCCAGTCATGAATCAAAAAAGGGACAGAGAAAGTGCTTTAGTGAAGAAGCAACCCAAATCTTAAAAGGTGATTCATATCTCACCTACAAGTTTGATATCAGTGTTCTCTACCAGCCATTTTGCTCCATCCTCCTTGAATCCCACATAGCTTGTGTCAAATTCCTTCTTAAACATGAGTCGCCTAACATTTAAACAAAAATTTAGCTCACACGTAGCTTCTATGTTCTAATTAACAAATAAATATCAGTATATCGCTAAGCTAAAGGTTGAAATTGCAGGTTAATATCATATTATAATTTGTGTATCATCAAGGTTAAAATTGCACAATCAAATCAAACATACTTGAGGGTATGTTTGGAGGAAGGGAAAGGAAGGACAAGGGAGAAGGCACCATAAACTTTTTATTTAAATTCTTTTCATCCAAAATCTTTTCCTTCCTCCCATTCCCTCTGTTGTTCACCATCCAAACATGCCATAAAGGTTTGTAAATGGTGGTTCCCAAACATACCATAAATTAATTTTTTGTAATTTTATTTTCTCCCACAAAGTTTCACGCATTAGGAATCATAGATCTTTTTTCCTTCCTCTTACTCTCTGTCTTTCTATTTTAATTTTTCTTAATTCTGATTTAAAGTTTTTATTCACCTACAAAATTAGTTTTAAAATAAATAGCTAAGAACTCATTTCCAAATTTCCAAACTCTCCGTAAGAGTCAATGAGTTGTTATGTATCACTGGTAATTAGCCAGTTTTTTCACAAAGTATAAACTCTGCCAACAAGCCATCCCGTCTCCATTCTCCAATAACCTATTCATCATAGACCATAAACATGAAATGAAGGAAACTACAATTACCTATGTGGAAATTAACAGATTCAGATACACAACCAAGCCTACAACGACTAGCAATGTGCAGCCCAAAATAGATTATGAGCAATAGAAAGGTACCAAAAGACAGAAAAAGTACATGAATGCAATGCAATCTGTAGAAAATTTGTTGTTGCCCACACTTTCAAAACTACAAGAGAGCAGACTTAACTTCTGGAACAAAATATGAATCATTGTCAAAACTGTTTATTCATTTATATAATTATGTTTTAACAATGAAAGCAACTATTAGAGTTGATCTTGTGTTAATTTAAATTCATAGAGATAATTTTCAAGATAAATAATGCAATAATCTAAATAATAATCCTATTTGCAAAAGCAAAACACATTTCCTGTATATGACTATATGCAAGAACTATGAAACTGCCTCAGCGAAGCACTTTGAAAAGCAAGTATGAGAAAACTTATTAAAGTCAATTTTCTGGTAGACAAACAGAGCAGAAATCCTCCAATAGCAGTTATGATAAATGTTAACTGTACAACTTACTTATCAGTATTTGAGGTTCTGAAGAGCACACGGCGTATACCACTAGGGATATTCAAGGACTTCATAACTTCAGCTAGAAAAAGATAAATTTGGTATGTTTTAGTCAAACATAACAAATGATATCAGGGTTAAGTTTGCATGTTCATAACAGATATTCAGAAATAAAATGGCACAGAAAACAGGTCTGAATATAGGAAAGCATCACATCCATCCGACTTCATGCTTGGGAGCAGAGCAGCAGTGCTAAGACAAGCATAATTTCCTGACATATTTATTGTGTGGGACGATCTAGAACTTTAGCTCATGAGAAATAGTGAATTGATATGAATATAATAAAATCAGACCAATTAAAACAAAAAATATGTACACATTCATACAATACACAGTGTAGAGCAGAACTGGAAAAAAAAATTCGAACAATATCAAGATCATCAGTTAGACATACCGGTAACGTTTTTATCTCGTGGAACATCAACCAAAAGTGCCAGGCCTATGAACAGAGCAAGTAGTATATCAGTAGTCAGCAGCTAAATAATTCATAAATCAGCAACCATAGAATTCGAAAATTGGGATTTAAGAAGGAAAGCATCAAACTCATATTATCATTAATATTACTGATTTTAATGATAACGATTATTCAATAAAATAATTCGAATCCTGCTACCAAGTAAATTTGTCAAGAATGAGAACCAAGCATTTAATAAACTTCAATTATTATAAAATATTTTTTAATCGGTGTCCTAATGCACTGTTATCATTCGTCACTAATGATACAGTTTCGCCAAAGTATGAATCTCAAATTTGAGCTCAAGAAATTGAAAAATGATAAAAGTTGCAGAGCGTATTGAACGGAGCCCTACCGTTTAGGAGTGTTAAGTCGAGTGAATCGACGTCGAAGCCGGCGTCGAAGTACTTGTCGTAAAAGTGACTTGGCGCGTCGACATGTGTGCCGGTGTGAACACCAAGCTTCATGGCTGAGTCGTTAGCTTGGGAGCCATTCTTCATGCTCATTTGGAGCCACAGGAAGTGACCAAGTCCCTCTTTCGAGTCCCACACCGGCATCTCAGGGACGTACCTATGGGTAATATCGAAGATTCGTCCGTCATCGTATACCTCTCGGCGGGGAGGTACGAGAACACTGTCATCGCCGGCGAAGGAGCAGTCATCGGAATCGGCGCCGGGAATGGAAGGATAGGCGACGGAAGTGCCGGCGACGGAGTGTAAAGAAATTGCACAGAGAAACGTAAATAGTGAGAGAGAGTTCATGCTTCGATCACTTGACACCGTTTCTACCCCACGCGGCCACATTCGGATTGACGAAGTTTATTTTCTGTTCTGTTCTTTTATTTTTTTAACAATTGTTAGGCTGAATTTTGGAGTATCCCATTGTCCTCTTCTAATATTCTAACAAATGATTTTTCTAACTATTATTTAAATATAACATTATTTAAGATTTTTCAGATAATCAAATCTGATCAGCCATAAATTTGTAATGAGTTTTATATAGTATTGCACTATTTTCTCGATTCAATATTTATAATAATACCTATTTAATACATTAATGTTTTTTACAAATTTCAATCAATAAGTTCAAAAATAATACTTATAATAAAAAATTTAAGAGAAAATATTTGGTAGAACGAGTCTCAGTAAATAAATCAATACAAATGATATAAAATACAGTGAAAGTCTAAACACGATACATCTTGAGTTTGACTTGATACATCCGATAATATTAAATAATAAATTGAGTGAATTTTATAAAACAGATATTATTATTATAAAATCAAATAATCATTTTTTCTAAATTAACATTAACATTAAATATGTATTACAGAAGCCCTTGAGATCGGAAATTGCAAAGCAGCAAGGCCCAGTAAAGGTGGCAGGCAGGGATCAAGACACCTAACATTTGACCAAAAAGGAGAGAAACCCACAAACACAAACAAAAGGGCCCAACCCAAAGTCTCTATGGAGGTTTATGGACTCATGCTATTATTAATCTTTATGTATGTTTCATTCATCAGAAATGTTATTTTGACATCTGTGAGAGACACCCCCGTAGATAAACTCAAATACTATATAGTGTTTTTTCTTCTTTTTTTTTTACCTTTAAAGCTTTTACTGTTAATTTTTTCTTTTTAAGCTTGGACACCATACGAGAGAGAAAAAAAATTAAAAATATATAATGGTACGATGTAAATACTGATTTTCGTGATCGAGATAAATGTTGAAATAATAAAAATAGTTTTTTTATCACACATGACACAAAAATTATTAGTTAGATTGTATACGAAAAGAAAATAGCTATAATTTTTTTCTCTCTTTATACCACTCATCTAAAAATTTCCTTCTTTTCGAATATATCTTTAATTTGTTTGTTGTTTCTCAAAAGAAAAAATGTAAAATAAACCTTACATTTTAAGTTTATCATCTTTCACATATACTGTAGTACACAGCGAGTGGGGTGTGCAGTGCACCTCTAATCAGATGCACCTACATTTCCAACAATTTAGTCAACTGAGTTGTCCCCATTGTTTTCCCCGCTTTAAAGCTTCCACACCACAGAAGAGAAGGAGGCACTTTCCTCCCTGCTCATCATCTTTTCCATTCGCAGCATCATTTAATATTTATCGCTTCTCGTATTCATTCATGTACTTTCTTGCTTTTGATCCCTGAAAATATCAGAAATTGTACGTGAGACATGCCCCTTCTTCCTTGAAAATTGAAATGCTACCACCAACTACTCGACCAATCTGCCACTCCAGAGCCCAAACCGATAATGATACAAACTAGTAGCTCCTGAGGGATCATCAAAACACGTATTTGCATCTCCATCCACACATATCGCACAAGGTTTCCTTTTTCAACATGCAAAACCTCAATTTACTTTGCCTTACTATAATTTACCTTTCTCTATTTCCCTTTCACACAAGCAACTCCATCGTGCAAGCCCTCACGTTAGCCTCAGATATAGCAGCCTTGAAAGCCTTCAAGGCCTCAATCAAACCCTCTTCCATCACCCCATGGTCATGCCTAGCATCATGGAACTTCACCACCGATCCATGCTCACTCCCTCGCCGCACCCACTTCATATGCGGCCTCACCTGCAACCCTGACTACACCCGAATCAATCAAATCACACTCGACCCCGCAGGTTACTCAGCCACACTAACCCCACTCATCTCTCAACTCACTCAACTCGTAACTCTAGACCTCGCCGACAACTCCTTCTTCGGCCCAATCCCCTCTTCAATTTCTTCCCTCTCCAACCTCCAAACCTTTACCCTACGATCCAATTCCTTTACCGGTTCAATCCCTCCTTCCATAACCAACCTCAAATCTCTCCAGTCTCTCGACCTTTCACAAAATTCCCTTTCTGGGTCTCTTCCAAACTCCTTCAATTCCCTCACCAGCATCCGCAGAATCGATCTCAGCTTCAATAAACTAACCGGTTCAATCCCCAAACTACCACCCAACTTGCTAGAACTCGCGATCAAGACCAATTCTCTATCTGGGCCACTCCAAAAACAAGACTTCGAGGGGTTGAACCAATTGGAAGTGGTGGAACTAAGCGAAAACGCACTCACCGGAACGGTAGAGTCTTGGTTCTTTCTCTTGCCGTCGCTGCAGCAAGTGAATTTGGCCAACAACAGCTTCACGGGAGTTCAGATCTCGAGACCCGCTGGAGGAGGAAGTAACCTCGTGGCACTCAACCTCGGGTTTAACAGAATACAAGGTTATGCGCCCGCGAATCTCGCCGCGTATCCGATTTTGTCGTTTCTGTCTATTCGTCACAACTCGCTACGTGGCACGATCCCACTGGAGTACGGCAAGATCAAGTCCATGAAGAGGTTGTTCTTAGACGGTAACTACCTCGTCGGGAAGCCGCCGTCAGAGTTATTCGCCGCCGGCACGACGGTTTCCGGTAGCTTGGGGGACAACTGTTTACAAGGTTGTCCAATGTCTTCACAGCTGTGCACGCCTGCACAAAAACCCACCTCTGTTTGCAAACAAGCCTACCGTGGAAGACCGAAACCGTAGTTTGTCGGTTAAAAAAAACAACTAAATTATTTTGAAGGTTGTTCTTAGAGAACTCCATTAATCTCCGAATAAAAGATGTATTTGTAAAATATACAATGGTAATTATATTTATATATTCTTATGCTATGACTTTGGTATAAGTACCTTGAAATTTTATTTTAAGTTACAGCTATACCTCTTAATTCTCATGCGTGTAATTTTCCACAATTAGAGGCCCATATCTGTTTCGAAGCGGAACCAAGTCCCCACTGACTATGACGTTTCTGTCGTGTTATATACATGTTAATTATCTTTTATTCAATGAATATTGTTAACTTCAATTTTTTTGTATTTAAAAATCATTGGTGTTTAAATTAATTTATTCTATATTTTGTTAAAAATAAACAATTATAAATATATACTTAGTATTAATACGATGATAACGACTGCACAAGGACATTGAAGTAAAGTTAACAGTCAGAAGTTTAAATAGTTTGTATGAAGTCATAAATTTAAACTTCGCTACAGGTGTGTCTTGAAAATATTCACGATAAAAATAAATGCACAAAATCAAGCATGCACCGTCTAAACAATCTTGTATTAAGTACTTTATAAACTCTAATAACTTATATGAAATATACTCACTGTTTATCTTTAGTATTGGGATAAACTTAGAATATTAATATAAAGCTTTGTTGCATTGATATAGCGTGTGGTCGATTAATTTAAGTAAGAAAATAGAAATTTAAATTTTATGGTTTTTTCAAGTTAGCAACAATTACAAACTATAAATAAGGATTACTTTTGGACCCTTTGAAAATGAAAATACTCTGTAGTCCCTAACTTTGGAAACAAAATTAAATATTGAGATTGACTGAATTTGAAAATTGACTTAAATTAAAATAAAGTAATAAAAATCAAGGAAAATGAAAAAAAATGCAACACTTTGTGTATGTAAAGTCAAGTGACTTATTAAAAAATACTTAAAATTCTTCCCATTTAAAATTGAATGTTCAGATTATATAATTAGTACCTAATATGATTAATTAGTACCAATCAAGGATGAGACATACCTAACAAATAAAAAAATTAGGTTTAGCTAATACTAATTATAAAATTTTGAGAACTGTTTTTTTATTGCCCTACAGCAGGTGATAGTTTCTCAATCACAATTATGTAATTTCAGTTGATGATACACACTAATCCAACCACCTATTATTATTATTGTTGCTGTGGGTAGCATCAATAGTGATGAACTAAATGAATGAATGTTTGTTAGGCCATGTTCTTATTTATACGACTGCATTGCAAACAAAAACAGTGGTTGTAGATGCAGGAAACGATAATCATTGACCGTAAGATATGCTTTAAAAGTATTTCATAAAAGGCAAAGCACCCACTGATTAATAATTGGAATGGCTAAGATGGGTGTTTCTATGAAGTAATCAAACTGCTAGAAACGATATCTTGCCGAATATTGTCTTTACCATATATTAAGATTAAGTAACATATAACTATTAAAGATTCCCCGACAAGGAAACTTGTCATAACAATTTGTAATGTTCTGGCCAAAAAGACTCAAAACCCAAAAGCACATTTGAATAGTGTCCAATTAATAACGTTGATTGAACATTATTTATTTAATGACAAAAATCATCTTACATCTTTACTTAAGAAGCTCCAGTTCTTTTAGATTTATTTTAGTGTAAATTTATAAGTAGAAAATTTACTTCTTCTATTGAGAATGTTCATTTGTGTATAATCAATGTCGATAAGAGTTGTTCGAATTTCATTTGGAAGGATCAAACAGTTTCAATAAGTATGTCTTAGTTAGATTATATTTTTGTTGGGCTTGACTTGTTTGAAGTGAGGAAATTAAAGTTAAAGAGTAAAGTGTTATTTATTATTAGTTTAAAATTGGTAATGTTTATAAAATATTTAAATTTAAAGTAATGATACAATCTTACCTTTTTTTTTATCTCTTCACTTTATAACATATAAATAATTTTTACTATTATTTTAATATTTATTATCACTTGTTTTTTTGTTTTCTCTCCCTAAACTGCCTTAATTAAATGGTCGCCTTTTGTTTACAGCATATTTGCATTCCTATGCCCAAAAGTTCTAATCAACAGCTATACTAATTTATATTAAACATATATATATATATATATATATATATATATATATATATATAATATCATTTTTAGATATCAAAATAACTTGTAAAAATTTGGATGGCTTGCAATTTTAATAAGAAATGCAGGCTATAGTTTTCATTTACTTAAGCAAATTTTGATAAATAGTAATTTTAGTTTAAGTTAAACAAAAATTGTTTAAGCGAATTTAGAAAGAGTGACAAAAAAATTAGAATAAAAAGAGAGAAAGGGAGGTTGAGAGAGAGATGGGGGCAAGAGCGTAAAAGAGAGTGAAAACGTGAAAAGATTAATAGGAAGAAGAGAAAAAAACTAGATAAAGAGAGAAGGAAAGAGGGATGAGTGGGGGTGAAGGAGAGGGGAGAAGAGTTAGATGATGATAGAGGGGGAAGGAGACTGAGTGTGATTGAAGGAAAAAATAAAATAAAAAAGAAAGGAAAGAAATGAACTGAATGAAAGAAAAGAGTGATTGAAGGAGAAGGAAATGGGAGGGGCTAGGTGGAAGAAGAAAAAATAACTGAAAACTATTAGATGAGAGAAAAACGAGAGTTAAGTGGGAGGGAAGGAAAGAGAAAAAAAAAAAAGAGGAGCTCAGGTGAAAGAAAGGAAGTCAGATTAATAAAAAAGAATAAAACATTTTTTTTTTGCGTATTTTTTATTAAATAAATCTAGATTCACTTAATAACAAATACACAAAAAAATAAAATAAAATGCTTCAGTGTATTTTCATTTCTTAGGTTGTATTTATTTATTTTTATATATATTTATGATATTTGTTTACTTATTATCTAGTACGGAGCATCAAAATCAAGTTAAAATGCAAGGAAAAAAAATGAGCATATATCATTTTAATTTTAGTTGAAATATGCTATGAATTTAAAATTTAAAAATAAAACTATTTTATCAATGAGAAGTGGTTTTAATAATTTTTTTAATGTGGTTTTTAAAATTTAAATGAAACTTTCTCTGAAAAAAAAAGAGTAAATATTAACATAGTAATATAAAACTAATTGAGAAATGTACTCCTCGTTTTTCCTGACCTTTTACCGATGGATATTTTATAAAATTATAATTGAGGGGAAATTAAAGCCCCATTTTGATATATAAAAGATATTATTGAGACAAAATTAAAATTATATGTATCGTCGGGTATGAATTTTCTTACTAGAAAAATATATATTGTTAAATTTGTTGTTTAATTATTTTTTATAATTATTAAATTTTATTTATTAATTCATTAAATTAATTTTTTCGTTAAATAGATAAGTTTACACAATTTTATATAATTTAAAAATTAGTTAATATTTTATCAATGATTTTTGTTTTAATATATATTATACTTTTTAAAATTTAAATTATTATTTTTAATCAGAAAATATAAATAAATGGAAACTAGTATAAGATAATATTATCTGTAAACATTTTATTTATCTAAAATTTTATATAAAAGATTTTGGAGATTATATGATATATTTTTTTAAATAAAATGTCAAAGACTTACTCTGTTCATAGCTATTTGCTGCCGCAGCTTCAGAACTGTTATTACTCCAACGCACAACTCAGCTCAGTGGCTCACACATTTTCGATTTCTGATTTCCGATGTTATTATCTTTCCATTAAGAAGCATCTCAAAATATCTAATATCCATTGAGAGAGACTAACTTCTAGTCAAACGAAACCATTTATCTACAAGAATAGGATTTTGTTCCTCCTCAAACCCTAAAATTTTGCAGCAATGGGCAAGACAAGTACAAGGTTATTGGATTTCCTTTTCCTTCCCAGTTCCCAAATGTTGAAGTTACTTCTAATTTGATTGCTGTTTCCTCTATTCGAAGACTTTCTAATTCTTTTTCGCGAGTGCAGGTCCAATTCAAAGCCCGACCGCAAGTTTGAAAAAAAGCTTCAATTTTATACAAGTGAGTTTGGGGATCAATTTCTGTTCTCTGAAAATAGAATATTACAATTTCTAGTTATTGTTTTTTTTTTTTTCTAGTTTTTGATTTTATTTTATTTATCTTTAATACGGAGCAAAACAGTTTTACGAGAAAATAAAATTTCGTTTCTAAGGTGCTAGGTTTATGTTAGGATTTGTATCTGTTTTATTTGGGTATGTATGATTATAAAGGTTTTACTGTAATTAATGGATTAGTATATGTATGTCAAACCTGTCTAGATTTTTACTTCTTGCAATCCTTTATGTTATTGCAGAGGTGAAAGATGCTGTTTCTTCCTTGAGTGCCCAAAAGTCTATTGGTAAGGTGAGAACGTTAATTCAACAGTATTATTGTTCTTAAGATGGATTGGTTGAACTATGGAAGGGCTTTGATAGATTTATAATAAGTTTAGTTTAATGGCTAATTAACTTTATTATGCTGCGGATTACAAATTGTTGATTTAAGCTGTTGTATTTTTCATGGACATGTTGAAGCTTCTAAGCTACTTTTCTTCATTACCCCTTCGCTATGGTTCCTGACAACTTCAAATAGGACAGACATTCTGTCAAATTGAATATTCACGCAAGCCTTGACCCCTGTTAGTCATACATGCGCTCTCATGCAATTTTTTTGTTAACAGAAATATTCCAATGAGTTTTTTAGTTTCATTTTAAATAGCATGTATGTGCTTCCTACGGGTGATTGTTAATGAATGTTGTGCACACAGTTGATGCATTAGCATAATATAATTTGAGCTCCTGTTTAATGTTGAGTTGTTGGACTCTTGGTGGAATCAAAATTAACTGAAATTTTAAAATAGCATAAGATTTTATATATTTTTTCCTCTTTGAAAGAAAACAATTTCAGGTTTCAAGATAACATGTTGAAGTTGTGAATTTTCTTGACTGAAGCTTTATTTTTAATGTATTTACTGGATATGTAAATATTTCTAGACATATCTTCATTGAAGATGGCCTGAGGATATCATTGTTGTACTAACCTAATCAAGTTTTTTTAAGAGATAGGTGCCCGTCTAATTTTATGCATAAAACATGAGTGTTATTGGTTTCTGAAGATGTTGTTTTCTTGTGTTAGAAAAAGAGCAAACAACAGAGGCGGCAGAACAAATTGAAGACATATAACCTATCTTCACTTTTAGAGTCCCTTCCTGAGTTGAAGACATCACCGAAACCAGGTCGTGAGGATGACTTCAAACTTAATTGCAAATCTAGGCAGAAGCTAGTGTGAGTGCTTCCCATCATTATTTGTTATTGCATTGTCAACTTTTTGATATGTTACATTCTATTTACAACCTTTGTCCCTGTTCATCAGATTGAAGGAAGGAAATCGATTGTCTGCGGTTCTAAAGGATCCTAACTTTCGAGCAGATCCCCTGTCTGCCATTTATCAATACCTACAGAACACACAACCAATTGTTGAGGAACAACCCAAGAAAAAAGTGAACAAAAATGGATCCAAGAAGAAGAAGAAATCGAAAGCCTCAACTGGACAACAGTCTATGGAAATGTAGTGTCTTTGTATGGCTATTGTAATGATCCGCAATTTTCAAGATATTTCCATGATTCTATTTTTTTCCAGAAAGCACTAAATTACTCTAATTATGAATGAAAATATCTTGAATTTCTGAAGTAGTCTCAGTGAAGTCTCTGTAGTTGGTCACTGATTTTGATATCAGTACCACGGAATAGGTGGGACCGACTTGCTTTTGAGCATAACAATTCAATATACAGATAAACATGAAACCACCATCTATAATAGTTTTTTATGAACATTGCAGGGTTTAAGTTATAATTGTGACTAATGATTGATAATTGTGGCAAGCTTTAAATTCTTTTTTTCTTACTAACCTCAGATATTGATAATTCATACACAAGGTTCAGAAAAGTATTTTCCTTTCTAGTATAAGAAAATGGCTCTGTTGAAATTGAGAAGGCAATCTTTAGGTGGAGTCATTCATGTTGTCTAAAATTGTGGCTAATTCTTGTTAAAGGAATATGGTCAGGATCATGTCATGCTTCCTGCTTGGAAGTGTTGATCAATGCTCAATCAAGACCTTGAATCTCGATGGAGGAGCCTCGTCCTAGGCCTGACATGGGTTTAGTGCTTTGAATGTACCTAGACGGATGAATTCATTGGATACTTGGGGAGCAGATAGAAATGTACAATTTAAAATACACTTTTATCTGTATTATTTGCTTGTCTTGATTTTGGTCTCTATATACTTAAAAGTTTGATCTTTTGCCCTTATAATTTTACAAGTTCAGGTTTTAGTGCATTGGTTTTGATACCTATAGAGTTATTTTGTTCAGGTTTTGATCCCTTCAGTGTATCGGATATCGGTCCAAATGGTTACATCATGTAAGGCCATTGTTTTGGCATATTGCTAGTAGGAAGGACTGAAAACACATGGCATAGTACTATTGTAGACTCATAGCGCTTGGAATATTAATAAGTTCATTCCGATCCTCTAAGATTCTGTGTCATTGCTGTCCGCCCGAAGATGAGTCCATTGGCATTGTGAAAGTAACGTCTCCACGAAGACCAAATCTGTATTTAGCAGTTAATAGAATGTACAGTGGATTGCCATGCTTGTACTTAGATGAGTTATAATCCGGAAACAGTAATTAATTGTGTCATTTGACTCGATCTGGTTACAAAACTATTGGTACGGTAATCGAAAAGACTAGTTATTACCATGCTTTGTAAAGTTAATGTTTTTGTACTGTACATCCTGTACATTAAAACCTGATCCATCAAAGGACAACGTATTACCACCGATGTTCAGTATTTATCACCTCAAATCTTCATATTTGACAGCTAAAAACAACATGAACAGCAACACAATTAGACTAATTTCAAAATTTTGTAGCATAAAACCAAAGGTAATCCTACGGTTCCGATTTAGGCTTGCCGCATGTGCAATAGCCATGAATAATATACTATTAAAGGATATCAAAGTGAGAATTGGAAGCCATTAAGTACATCAACAAGGAGGGAAGGTATTCTCGTGGATACCAATAATTGGTATGGTTCTGACAGTTTCCCCCAGTTTAAACTTTATAGAATGGTTGTCTTCCCCGAGGACTAAAGATCCACAATTGGAATCCTTCACTCACACTTCTGTAAGAACCTCTTTGCCCGGTTGACACAATAACAGTGGTTCCCCCAAACATGCACAATATTCTGTGTCAATTTTAGTTGGGTGAGTGATGCATTATGCTGCTTGGAAACTCACGAGATTAAGTGAAATTCCTCCTTAATTCACAATTAATGCAACGAGGACAAGATTTCACAACAAATAAGATTAGCCTGGATAAAGGCAACAGGGAAAGGTGATGCCATACAATGATTTAAGGCGTCATTACTTTTAACTTTCCTGGCTTTAACGCCAATTCTTTTCAACATAACAAATAATACAAGAAAAAATGATAAAATTATATCTCAAAAAATGAAATCAGCGAGCTTCAGAATTTACACCAGACACTACCAGCCTAAATACATTGATCAGTTCTTTGAGGCTGACTGGAAGATGAAAAATGCCATCAAGATACCCACCAGTGCCGTTACTGCAAGAGCAACTGTAGGCAGTGGAGTTGTGAGTCCAAAATTCTGCAAAATCAAAGCACAGGAATAATGTTAATAATCACTAGAATGGGTGAGAGAGGAGGTAGGGATAGGTGTCAGGAGTATGAGAATTGCATAAAGCATAGAATTAGCTAAGGTTTCAGTAGTCAGTTGCATTGATTTTGAAGCTTTAAACTTGAAATGATTCTACTTAGATGCATCAGACATGTATATGAACTTGATAGTTTAAAAAATCATGAACAAATGCTCAGATTAGATGATTTACCAATGACAATAATAATAATAATAATAATAATAATAATAGTTTAATTTTACAACTAGATGTCAAACAAAATAAAGGACAGAAAAATTAACATGTTGCAGTTAGAATACCAAAGTAAACTTTTGATAGGTGGGGAAAGTTAAAGAAAGCGAGGCAAAAGCCAATTAATCATTTGATGAAAATAATAAATTAGATCATGGCTCAACATGGAGACAGACGCTTGCTGTCTAAGCCATGCCTGAAGTAATCCACTAATTACTATCATACCTCTAGGAGTCCCTTCCCGGTAGAAATTTCAACAGTAATGGCTATTGCAAAGCTAACCATGGCTAGCCGACCTAGCCACACATCCAAACTGTTTCCTTCTTGGGTACTCTGCTCACATCTTATTGAAACAGATATTGCTTTGTATGTGGGTTTCCTTCCATGACTTCTTCGAATCACTAGAGACAAGTCAAGCAATACTTAGCCCATTAAACTGGGATCTTATTTCAACATTACTTTAGTTCCACCCTCCCCCTAAATTCATAAAGTAAAGACATCATAGACTTATGGATATAACCACAAATCCCAACTATGAGTACTTCAAGGATTATTTCAAGAAGGACCAGAAGATTGTGGTGCGACAAAACTGAACAAAAAAAAAAGGGACAATGTACAAATAATGCAGCAATATTGCAAGTTTATGACCAAAATTCAGCAGCAATATTTTCAGATAGCATTTATCATTAACACTACCATTTTTTTACAGTTGCTTCAAATTAGCTAGCTCACAGGCTTATCTTTTAAGGTCTAATCTAAAGTAAGACAGTTTAACTCCCAAGATCAAACACACTTTTTCCCAGATAGTAAATACCAGATTTTGCAATAGAATGAAACAAAGCTGCAAATCATCAGTTTTTATTTATTTATTAAGTAAGCTATTGAATTTTGTTGGGGGGACAACTTAAGTCTGGGATACCAAAAATAGTACTATGTGTTAACAAGGGAAGCTGTAACCTACATTAATATGCTGCAAAATTCATGACATGTTTTCATTTAATTTAAAGACCACATAGTATGAAATTCAAAGCAGATAGTACTCTAAATAGAGTCAATTCCCAAGTTCTACTTTTTTATTACCGACTAACTGATGCAAAAAAAATATTTTTCCACATCAGAAAAATTTGGGGAGAACATAAGATTGCTAGCATTCAATTTTCAAGTTAAGGTTAACAAGTCACTACTCAGAATGGAATACAGTACAGTGGCATATATAGTTAGTTGAATGCAATTTTCACCTTATAAAGTAAAATATGACAAAGAATAACCACAACAACTAGAACTCTTACACAGTGGGGAACCAGCGATGAAAGGTGCTCGAGTTGGAACCAAATTGGGAGGGGCAAAGCGAGAAGTGGCAGTGAATTTTGGTGCAGTGAAAACACAAGCATCTGAAACACAGCTTCAACTGAGTGTTAGAAATTGAACACAATAGAGAGAGGGAGAGAGGGAAGGATTACTTACCACGAAAAGAGAGAGAAAGAGAAGCAGAGAGTTGAGCAAGTGCCATGGTGACTGCAACTATCTCAATTATGCGGTGCCTACGAATTCTGTGGTGTTTAATGTTTATCTCTTTCTTTGGATCAAACGTTCAGTGTCTCATCCTTGTTCCACGATGACCATTCATATTTCAGACTCCTTAACTCCCACGTGGCCCTTTTAATGATTTTCTGCATTTTATTTACTACAAAATAACAACAAGTGACTAACAAGTACTTGCTGCAATATATGAATATTTATAATTACAAAGAAAGTGTCAAAAAATATCATTTCCAAAATATTTTAAAAATTAATTTGACTGATATAGATTTTTTCCACTAAAATAAAAACATTTTCAATTTTAAAAATTGATAAAACTTTTAATTTTTTTGTTTGATAATTAATAAATTGACAATATTAACTTAACTCACTGTAAAAATTTTTAAAATAAATACGTGAGAATGATAATATCTACATATTATAATTTTAGAAATAAAGTTTAAATTTATTATAAGAGTAGCCTTTCTTTTGTTATAACATTAAAATTCCTTCCCTTTTTAAATGCACACAATTTTTTCGAAGGCAAAAAATGATTATTTTTCTGTTGTGTTAATTATATTCAATAATAAGCATGAATTTACAACATTTTAAATATGAAAATTTTATATTATTTATTAATAATAACTTTAAAAAATAATTTCTATTATTAACATGAGAATTCTAATCATACACTTTTAAAATATATTATTTATGGTTAGGTGAATTCATGTGGGTATTTAAATAAAAAAATGAGAGTATTATTTTGATAAATTTTATGATTTTATCTAATAATAAAAAAGATATTATAGACTATGTGAATTTTGTGTTATTAGCATTTATTGTGAATTTTAGCTCTCTTAACAACTCATCTTCATTTGGTTAACTAATGTTGTTAACGTTAATCATTAAAATAGAATTTACATATTTAAAAACAACAATTTTTTATTAAAAATAAATATATTTATTGTATTAAAATTATAAAAATAGGATAAATATTTTGTATTGAAAGCTTAATTGCTTAAAATTTCATTATTTTAAAAAAATACAAGTGACACCGAACATCGTCAGAATCACCCAGGACACGACAAGAACAGAGTTTTTGGATTTAAAAAAAAAAAGAAGAAAAACAAACGTTATTTCTCGTCATGAAATTACATTGACCTTGTTATCACACACTGGCTTTTTTGGATACAATTGCGCTAATGGCTACGTTTTCAACTGGGACACACTTGTCGATGTTTCAGCATTTGCAAAACTCTAGTCTTACCCGTCAAGGCCTTTGCACCGTTGAATCCTCACCCGTCTTTGCCTCCACTTCTTGCACAACCAGATTCACGACCACTCCCACGTTACTTCGTCATAATGTATTGGCACGTGCTGAAGATAAGGCCAGAGGTTCTGCCTCTTCTTCTTCTTTTCAACCTCAACAAAGTTCCCAGCAACAGTTTCAGGTTCTTCTTCCGTATGACCCATTAACCAACTTCTTGGAATTTAGAATACCCTTTTAATTACTCTGGTCTACTTGTGTATAAATTTTGATATTTGATGTTGGGTGCATAATCTCGGTCTTGGGTACCTCACTTATCCATGAAAGATCCAAACTTTGCAGAAAAGTGATTGAATATTTGAACCTGAACAATTTTTATGTCGATTTTTAATCATGGAGGAAACTCCACTTCACCACAGTAATTTTTAATGGTTGACTTGGTTTTAAAGTAAAAATAAAAATTAAAAAATGGTGGTGGAGTGAGCTCAAGTAGGAAACTAAGTGTATAATTGAAGAGTTAATTTTGGTGATTCAGTCAGTTAACGCGTGCATCATGGAAAAGAGTGCACTTTAGTACTGCTACAAGGTTTTCATAATCTGCTTCTTATATGCTATGCTCACACTGCACTTCACTTTGATATTGACATCAGGACTTGACCCCAGAATCTGGAACTTGTGATCCCCTATGTTCACTTGATGAAAAAAGTTCACAGGAGTATGAAGACAACTACCAGCCCAAGACCGATTGGCTCAAGGCTGTTGCAATAATTGCAGCAGCTGCAACCGGGGCAGTGGCAATTAACCATTCTTGGGTGGCTGCTAATCAGGTCCATCATGTCCTCTTACCTGATTTCACTACTTCACGTTTCATAATGTATTACACACATTTGGAAAATCATCTCAAAATCTGCTCTGTTCCAATAATTATTATAACATTGTACTGCAGGATCTTGCTATGGCATTGCTATTTGTTATAGGATATGCAGGCATTGTATTTGAAGAATCTTTAGCCTTCAATAAAAGTGGAGTGGGACTGTTGATGGCTGTAAGCTTGTGGGTGATACGGAGTGTGGGGGTAAATGTCTACCTTTTGTTGTTATGACTTTAGAGATTATTAGTTAATTCTTGATTAGTCAGAACTTTTATGTGTTCGGTGTCTTGCTTTTGAAATTTAGGTTGCTGTTTGTATGACAATGTCTAGGATACAGCTCACTGTGACATGCACTTGATACATCTGTTCACATTTGCATATTTGTAAATTACAATTGAAGAGAGATTCTCAAGTATTCAGTATCATATACTCATATACATACTTTTTTCTTCTTTTGGGGTTTGTTCATCTAGTCATCTTTGCAAAAAGAAAAAAAAATATGGATGCACTAACAACAATTAGAATAAGGATAATTTCTATGTACCCATTGAACCAGCCCCATCTCTTAAGTTGAGGCACAAATTCAAGAGTGAATTGACATTACAAGGGTCTCATATTTCGAAGATTTTTTTTTTATTTCAAACATGTATCATAACTTGTGGTCATAGATATGCTTTCCAACTTGAATGGTTTTTCATGTATCATCCATTATAAACTTGATGTAGTCCCTGCCCCCCACCTCCCCTACTTTTGAAATATTTTCATTTAAAACGATAAAGGTTAGGAGAAGGCCAGGTTTGGAACAGGAAAACCTCCCTTCCCCTAAACTTTTATTTGTACCTGTGCTTGATCAACTTTCTTGTTGAACAATTCACAAAACTCTGAACAGGATTTCAAGACCCAAGGACCAAAGTTGATTTGATTCGAACTATACAACAGTTAGCTCAAAGATTGTGTGTTTTCTATTTGTGGATTAATTTTTTTCAACAACTACTAATGCACAGAATATGTGGTTAATAAGAAAATGTAATTTTTTACCAATGATATTGTGGAAAATAGGTTGCTTGTGACCCCTACAGGCTATAGTTACCATCTCCCTTCTATCAGTATCTGGGTACAACACTGGGATACTTAACAAATATTGGTGGCCTCGGTCTCCTTATTGTCTCTCTTCTTTATTGAAATTCAATATGTCCAACTGCCCCGCTCATGTCTTAATTTTGAAGTCAGTTTATTTCTCTCTTTCAATTGAATTTTCATTGCTATTTGTTTTTACTTTTTATGGATTGTCTACAGGCTCCATCAACTGATATAGCTGTTTCAGAGCTAACACATGCATCTGCAGAAGTCAGTGAAATAGTGTTTTTCTTGCTTGGTGCAATGACCATTGTTGAGATTGTTGATGCTCATCAAGGATTTAAGCTGGTTACAGACAATATTACAACCCGAAACCCACGCCTTCTCCTCTGGGTGGTAAGTGTTATCACTGCTTTGTCTTTGCATTGTTGACCATACTAAAAAAGCTTCCTAGCAAATTCATTGCAAATTGAGACTTCTTGGAAATTTGGCTTAGTTGTTCAACATTACAGTTATGGTCAAGGTTGGATGATACACACAATAGAAGGGGCTCAGATTCAAGAGCTAGCTACTAAACAAAGTAGTGTATTGCCATTTAGGCTCAGCATCAATGACTGCAAACTTTTCACTATTCAATACTCAGGAATATTGATATTTTAAAGGAGTTAAAGACATAAAAAAAGAGAGAGCAAATTCTCCTCCCCAAACCCCAAAAATTTAATCTTCTGTAAAGAACAAATTTTCTTTATCTCAATAATGGTAATTGATAAATTAATGTTGAATTTTCAGATTGGATTTGTCACGTTCTTTCTCAGTTCAGTTCTTGACAACCTGACGTCCACCATAGTCATGGTTTCTCTGTTGCGGAAATTAGTACCTCCATCAGAGTATCGGAAGTACGTGCATCTGTTATGTTGTTAACTTTCAGTGTAAAGACTAACCATGTGTTGAGTATTGTATATGACCATCATCTAAGGTTTCATTCATTAGACTACTAAAGCTTGATATCTTTGTCCTCACCAAGAGAAATTTTACATTTCACTGCTCTTGCTTGCTATTCTAATTATCTTAAGATCTGAACGCTCATTTGAAAGACTTTGATAAATTTTCCTCCAGAAATGCATTTTGATAATTTAATTTATCAAGTGCTAGAACTTATCATTCATAGATGATACAAAATGGTGTAAACATTCGTAGGTGTGTATGAATATTCTTAGTTCGCACTTTCCTGTATACTCTTACTATTTGAAGGTTTGCCTACACCTTATTAAATCTTGAAGAAATTGATTTCAACCCTATTGACAGGATTCTTGGAGCTGTTGTTGTAATAGCAGCAAACGCTGGTGGTGCGTGGACTCCTATTGGAGATGTTACCACTACTATGCTGTGGATACATGGCCAAATATCTACAGTGCAAACAATGAAGGTTATCTGTTGGAAAATTCTTCCTGTGTGACGCGTCTGTTAGGATAATGCAATGCGTGAAACTATATAATATATTATATGGAATAATCAATTTAGCATTCCTGACATTGTTGAAAAATTATTTTCCATACTGACAAGAACTAAATAATGAAGAGTGCTAGTAATACACTATTTACCATGCTTTTTCTTTGTCACTTTTTTACTATTGGGTGAATCCATGTGAGACCCATTAAATCATGTGGGTCTCGCTCCCTATTTAATAGATCCTACATGAGTTTCACCCAATAATCTTGTGTTGGAAAATTTGTGCTTAATTGTGTTTTACTAGCATTTCTCGTATATAATTTTTATGGCTCTAATTAAGATTTCCTTGGGCCAAGTCTTTCTGTTACTGATCTTTGACTGCATGAATACTTTGGATTCAACTCAGTACAACCCAGAATGAACAAGTATCCATAATTGCATTTTCTTTACTTGCAGAGTTTGTTTGTACCTTCAGCCATTTCTTTAGCCGTTCCACTGGCTCTGATGTCCCTGACTAGGTAGGTTCTCTTCTTACACTGTAAAAGTTAAGCCACACAGGCTTATTTGAGTAGTGGATTTAACTTAACATATCACAATTCAGTTTTTCACCTTTTCTTCTTCTGTTCAGTGAAGTTAATGGGAAGGGACAAAATTCTCCCAATGTCTTGGCATCTGAACAGATTGCTCCTCGGGGACAGCTTGTTTTCTCAGTGGGTTTGGGAGCTTTAATTTTTGTCCCAGTGTTTAAGGCCCTCACCGGTTTGCCTCCATACATGGGAATGCTGCTTGGACTTGGTGTGCTTTGGATCCTTACTGATGCTATCCATTATGGTGAATCCCAAAGGCAGAAGTTAAAAGTACCACAGGCTTTGTCAAGGATAGACACTCAAGGAGTTCTATTCTTCCTGGGAATTCTATTATCCGTTAGCAGGTAACAAGAAAATACATTCGAATCTTTCTGCTGCAGTGAGCTTTGAACTGCCATGTGTTCATCCATTTAAATCAATAAAATACATCAAGAATGTCATTGTTCCTCTGAGTAGTGGGGCCTTGCTATGACTTATTTGGGTTGATTGATACCCACCAAATCTAGTCATTATGGAAAAATGATGTATTACCTTGTTTACCTCTTCCCATTATGAGATGGATATGCCTCTTCCTATTGATTCCTGTAATTTGAAATTGACCTCGTTGTCTGAAATCAGAATCTCTTTCAATAAGCTTCAAGTCTTAGCACTCTTGTGCATGGATTTTGATTACATATTTTTTTCTGACACGAGATAAAATTTCCTAAGTAAACTCATTCTAACTACTTGTATTTGATCAACTTTAATGGCCATGTTGGGCAGCCTGGAGGCAGCAGGGATTCTTCGGGAAATCGCAAATTACCTTGATGCACATGTCCATAGTAGTGAACTAATTGCAAGTGCAATTGGAGTCATATCTGCATTAATAGACAATGTTCCACTGGTTGCTGCAACAATGGGAATGTATGATGTTGCTTCTTTCCCTCGAGATTCTGAGTTTTGGCAATTGATTGCATTTTGTGCCGGCACTGGCGGATCCATGTTAATTATTGGCTCAGCTGCAGGAGTTGCATTCATGGGGATGGAAAAAGTGGACTTCTTTTGGTACTTACGAAAGGTATTTCCTACCATTCACAGACATATTGATGTGATAAAATGTTTGTGCCTATTTCATAACAGAAGTACTTTATCTTCCTTGTGCAGGTTAGTGGCTTTGCTTTTGCAGGTTATGCTGCTGGTATTGTTGCCTATTTAGCTTTTCATAACCTCAACATTTCTCTACCAACAACTCTAGCAGAGGTTCCTTTCCTTTCTGGTTCATAATCAAGAATTCAGACTTCATTTGATTCAATTTTCATGGCTTCAAAAGCAGCATAGTTTGAAAGTTATGTATACAAGTCAACTTGTGGTGTAAGATTTTGAAGGTTAAGATTTTGGTAGACAAGTTATATATAGGGAGGATATCAGGTTATAAGAGGAGTTAATCTTGGCTAATCTTAATTATTCTTGAAAGATTGAATGGTTTTTTTATTTATTATTATTATACTCTTACTTTTACTTTATATGCCCTGTATATACTTTTTAGGAACCTCAAGTGAAAGTGCCCTAAAATATTTACATCATGTGGATTCAACGTATGAAACATGTTCACTAAATTTTTTATTTATACAGACACATTCATATTGATAGTACCTGTGATTTAAATAAAAAAAATGTTAAAAATTAAAAGAAAAATTACAAATGATATATTTTTAAAAAATAAAACATAAAAATAAGGGTTATATAATGATAAAATTACATTTGTAAAAAGGAAGAAGGGTAAAACTTTTAATTAAAATGAATATTCTCTAATTTACTAATTTATAAACAAATAAATTAATAAAATTTAATATTTTAATAATACACAATTTGTAGCGTTCGAAAGTGCGGGCGGAAAGACCTCGGATGAAAAATAAAACGAAAGTGCAAGGACAGAGAGAACTATAATTTTTTAAAACGACACATAATATTATAAAATAAAAAGACAAACATAATTACATAAATTTGTTATGAATAAAACTTTATATTTATATTATTATATCTAATACATAATTTAAGAGACTTAATATTTGTAATTTAATTAAATAAATTGTTTTATATAATATTACGTTAAAAGGTTAACTATAAAATTTAATAATTTTTTTTTAAAAAATCACAAATTATTACTGGAATCCTTCACTGTGAAGTGAGCGTGGATTAAGGTACTTAAGTGTGCTTAAGTGTGCTGGTTAAAACCATTTTCATAGGATTACGTGTGTTATTCCATGAAATTTCCCCACTCAATGTACTTCGAAAATTGCTACAAAAATAAGTACTACGTGCAATGGAAATTCATCCCATAAGGTTGCAGGATCCAAAGGAATCGAGTGTGTTTGAAGTGATAATGGGAAATTTAAGGTTTCTTTTAATGAAATAATTTTAAGAGGAAAGAAATTAGGAGGCATAATCTTATGAATTTTTTTTTTATATTATGTTTCAATCAATATTTTATTTTTTAGTATAAGAAAAAAAAGAATGAACGGAACTTTTTTTTATGAATTGTGAAATGAACAGCAATCTAGGAAGTTGATTATTTTTAGTTTATTTTAATGTTAAATAATTTTTTAAAATAGTAAAAAAATTAAAAATACAAAGCTACATAGAAAATATGTTTTTTAATTTATTTACTATTATAATTATATTTTGTATGCAATTTCTTTAATTTTTCTATTAACCTAAATAAAAAAATGTTTTATTTTTTTTTCTTTTTGCATCTATTCAAATAACACATTTTTTTATTTACATTTTGTATCTTATATTTGTATTTTTTTTCCAGATATAAAAGCAGTAGGTTTTATTATTTGAATTATTAAAACAAGTTTATTAAACTCAATTTTTAGAGTTGTTTCAAGTATTTAAAAACTATAATTTTTTTATTAAAAAGGGACACATTATACATTAAAATTATAAAAATTCAATAAATACATTTTTAATAAAATCTTATAATTATTAATTCTTCCAGTTTAACCAAAAAATTGATTTTTATTCAAATTTAATATCATATGTAATGTATATATATATATATATATATATATATCATATGTAATGTATATATATATATAGTATTTCAAATAAAACAACTAAAATTTTTCTCTCAATAAATAGAATTTTATAAAATTAATAATTCATAAAAGAATAAAAAATTTAGTGATTAACATACAATCTCGAGCATTTCCTCGTTAGGTTAATTATTATTTTATATATCTTGTTATGGGTTTAAAATAGATAAAGAAAGGTAAAGAAAAATATAATAAATAATGTAATATATATTTATATAAAATGGATTAACTTCACAGTAGATAATGCTTGCTTGAGAGTCGCGCGACAAGAGGAGCGTTTCGGGTGATGGGTGGAACCTGGAAGCGCTATATATGAGTGTTGAGAGTTGCCGCAGTTGAATAGAATTAAGAATGGTGGTGTTGTTGCTGTTGGCGATAACTGTCTCCACACTTTTGGGAAACACCGTTGACGGCGGTAACCACCCAAAACCACAACACAGTTTGTGTGAGCACATCATTCTCTCCGCCAGCTACCAGTGCTCCCAACATATGGTACTCTCTTTTTTTCATATTTTAAAATTAAGCATTTCGTATTTTTAATTATATGCTTTTCTATTGTTACTTTGCTTCAGATTCAAACGAAGAATGGTTCCTTGTTGGGTCTTCAGCGCGTGTCTTCTTCTTCTTCTTCCCTTCGTCTCGGGAATGACGGAGAACGAGGTCCTCCGCTTCTGTTTCTGCATGGCTTATTCATGGTCATCACATTTTCTCCTCTTTTTTACTCTTCCTTCTCGTCACAATGCTATAAATGCGTTAACAACATTACAATATGTTGCAACGTGTATGACATATAACTCTTTGATAGGATGAGGCTGGCGATGCATGGTTTGAAAATACTCGGCAGAAATCACTTGGCTTCATACTTGCAGATCATGGTTTTGATGTTTGGGTAGGAAACGTGCGTGGAACACGCTGGAGTCATGTCCCAATATCTTTATTAGAGAAAAATAAGGTTTGTAGCTTACTTTATCATTCATGTTATAAAATTTATGGGGTGTCTGTCTGCTACTTGTGGTAGTTATTATAGTTTTGTTTATTTATTAGTTTATTTGTATTTAACGAATGAAGCTGATGCCTTTTAAGGTATAAATTACCTATAAAAATAATATTTTTTTGTTAAAATATCTTATTTATTATACTTTTCATTCCGAAGATAATAAATGCTTTTTTTCTTGATAAAAACTTATCAATTGCTTATCTTCGTATTTAAAAATTAATATTTTCTTTGAAAATTTTCATTTTATTAGTCCTTACTATCAAGGCTGGAATAGTTGGAGCTAGAGTTTGTAATATTTTTCACCATGTCTGATATGAATCGTGCGACTAAGTTGAACTTTGGTCGAGTTGGCAGGAATTAGCCCTGTATGATCTTTCAGAAATGATCAAATACATTAATTCAGTGACAAACTCAAAGCTATTTGTGCTCGAGCATTCACAGGTATTTGTGATTCTTGATAGTTGACATTCTTTTCACATGTTATTTGGAGATCGCTATAGCATACGTTTTATGTACTTCCCATTCTTCGTAGGAAACAATTTTGTCTTTTGCTGCCTTCAAACATTCGGAGATAATCGGAAAGGTGGAAGGTGCAACCCTTCTATCTCCAATACCCTCCTTGGATACGGTATAACTTACTTTGTTCAATTTCTTCTCACTGCAAAAGTGGGTTTTTGGGATGAGAAATGATTACTGGTTTTGTTCATATGATTCTTACTTTGGGCGTTCATCGACTGAACTCCAAAAGGTTTTTGGTATTTCAATTTTCCGTCTTTTCTATTTTTCTTTTGCATATGTTCTTTAATGTATTCCTACTTTTTCTTATTTCTCATATTTGAAAAATGAACCATCTCTTATCTTTTCCTCCAAACCCCTACATCAAAACATACTTATAATAACATGAAAAAAATAAAAATATTTACTAACTATTTATCATTAAACAAGTTTGTGAGTCATATACCTGTTCGAAACTACGTTAGCGGATACCTGAAACACGATTTCGCCCTTTTCAGGGCACGTAAAATGGAGTTCTTCTAAAGGGAAAAAAAAACTTTTACTAAACAAAAGTTACTAACATAATTCTAAACAGGCTCTAACTAAGAAATAAAATATTATAATTTAATAATTTTAATATAAATTTTATCATTTTAACAAATAATAATATATTATATAAATATATAAAAATTATGCTATTAGTATTTAACCATGTTAATAAACTACTCATTTTGCTGACGTTCTTTCTTTTCTTTTCTTTTAACAGAAGTTAATACTACAATAGAGCTAATATAATACCATTGGCATTGAACAATGGTCAGGTCAGAGGCACAAAGAACACGACAAAAACAGAGTTCTTGGATAAAAATAACAAACAAATGTTACTTCTTCTACCCATGAAACTACAGTGGGCCTGTTGTTAATATCTTGCGAAAGAACACCCAGTGGTGTTGCTGCGCAAATGCCTAGGTTTTCAATTGGGACACACTTGTCCATGTTCCACTGCATGGCCTTCGCACGTTGAGTATTCACCCTTATTTGGCTACTCTTCTTGCAGAGCCAGTTTGAGAGGTACCACTTCCACGTTGCTCTGTCATAATGCATTCGCACGTGCTGAAAATAAGCCCAGAGGTCCAACTTCTTCGTTGTTTGAGCCTCAACAAAGTCTCACCAACAGTTTCAGGTTCCTCTTCTGTATGACCATTGACCAAGTTCTTAGAATACCTTTTTAATCACTCTGATGTTGGCCTGTACGCTTCACAATGAAGTACACGCATTTGGAAAATCTTCTCTAAATAATAGTTATTATGACATGGCATTGTAGGATATTGCTATGGCATTGCTATTTGTAATAGGATATGGAAGCATCATATTTGAAGAATCTCTAGCCTTCAATAAAAGCGGAGTGGGACTGTTGACGGCTGTAAGCTTATGGGTGATTCGGAGTATTGGGGTAAAACTTTATCTTTTAGTGTTTCGACTTTTAAGATTATCGGTTAATTGTTAATATTTTTTTATGGATTGTGTATAGGCTCCATCAACTGATATAGCTGTTTCGGAGTTAACACGTGCATCTGCGGAAGTCAGTGAAATAGTGTGTTTTTTTACTTGGTACAATGACCATTGTTGAGATAGTTGACGCTAATCACGGATTTAAGCTGGTTACAGACAATATAATGACCCGAAACGCACGCATTCTCCTCTGGGTGGTAAGTGCTTTCACTGTAGTTTGCATCACTATTTTTTTTTCTGCCTCAATAATGGAAATTGACAAATTAATGTTGAATTTGCAGATTGGATTTGTCACATTCTTTCTCGGTTCAGTTTTAGACAACCTGACATCCACCATAGTCATGGTTTCTTTGTTGCGGAAATTAGTACCTCCGTCAGAGTATCGGAAGTATGGGCGGTGTTGTTAACTTTTAGCATAATGGTTTACCCATGGTTTCTCTGTTGCCTTATTATTCTCTTGCGAAATCCAAATGCTTATTTGTGAGATCATGATAAATTTTCTTGTAGAAATCAATTTTGTACATATAATTCATAGGGAACGTGAAATGGTGTTAGCTTTTTCATTTAAGTTTGCTGTTTTCAGTATTGTCCAACAATTTGGAGGTTTGACTTCTATGGACAGGATTCTCGGTGCTGTTGTTGTAATTGCAGCAAATGCTGGTGGTGCATGGACTCCTATTGGTGGCGTTACCACTACTATGCTGTGGATACATGGCCAAATACCTACAGTGCAAACAATGAAGGTTATCTCTTGGAAAATTCTTACTATGTGGTAACTGTTTGGATCGTGAGAAAACTTTGCGTGAAACTACATGATAAATTATAGTGAATAATGAATTTAGCACTTATCAAGTCCTGAAATATTCTTTGGATATTGTGATTAAAAATATATCAACATACTTCTAACGTATCCTTGGTCAAAGTGTTTCTGTACTTTGATTGCATGAGCACTTGGATTCAATTCAGTACGACGCACAATGAACCTGTGTTGTTATTGCATTTTCTTTACTTGCAGAGTTTGTTTGTACCTTCAGCCATTTCTCTAGCCGTTCCATTGGCTCTGATGACCCTGACTAGGTAGGCACTCTTCTGACAGTGCAAAAGTCAGCCACAAAAGCTGATTTAACATTGAGATTAGGCTTAACATATTACAAAGTTGATGCTAGTTTTTTACTTTATCTTCTTATGTTCAGTGAAGTTAATGGGAAGGAACAAATTTATCGCGATGTCTTGGCCTCTGAACAGATTGCTCCTCGAGGGCAGCTTATTTTCTCAGTGGGTTTAGGGGCTTTTATTTTTGTTCCAGTGTTCAGAGCCTTCACAGGTTTACCTCCATACATGGAAATGCTGCTTGGACTTGGTGTGCTTTGGATCCTCACTGATGCTATCTATTATGGTGAATCTGAAAGTCAGAAGCTAGAAGTGCCACAGGCTCTGTCAAGGATAGACACTCAAGGAGCTCTATTTTTCCTGGGAATTCTATTATCGGTTAGTAGGTAATTAAAATATATTTCAATTTTTCTGCTGCAATAAGCTTTGGACAGTAACCATGTGTCGAAGCATTTAAATCAATAATAAAATTCATCAACAAATATGTCATTTTCCTATCATAAGATGGGTATGCCTTTTCTTTTGCTTGAATTGTCGTTACATGTTTTTTCCTGGCATATTTTAAAATTTCCAAATTACTCGTGGACATGGTTGTAATTTGATCAATTTTAACCATCGCGTTTGGCAGCCTGGAGGCAGCAGGGATTCTTCGGGAAATAGCAAATTTCCTTGATGCACATGTCCGAAGTAGTGAATTGATTGCAATCGCTATTGGTCTTGTATCTGCAGTAATAGACAATGTTCCATTGGTTGCTGCAACAATGGGAATGTATGATGTCTCATCTTTCCCTCAAGATTCTGAGTTCTGGCAATTGATTGCATTTTGTGCCAGTACTGGTGGATCCATGTTAATTATTGGCTCAGCTGCAGGAGTTTCGTTCATGGGGATGGAAAAATAAGACTTTTTTTGGTATTTACGAAAGGTATTTCTTACTGTACACGTAGACATATTGATCTCAAAAAAAATTTGTGCGTATTTCATGACAGAAGTAATTTATCTCCTTTTTGCAGGTTAGTGGCTTTGCTTTTGCAGGTTATGCTGCTGGGGTTGCTGCCTATTTAGCAGTTCGTTACCTCACATCTCCCTACCAGCTCTCGTGATTGTTCCTTTCCTTCCTGATTCATAAATCAAGAATTCAGACTTCATTTGACTCGATTTTCATGGAATCAAAAGCAGCATAGTTTCGAAATAAGGCATACAAGTCAAACTCGTTGGGTAAGTTGTTAAAGGTTAAGATTCTGGTAGAAAAGAACTGTATATTTACTGATGTTTCCTAGTCCATTTGTCCTTTAAGTATCATATATGTTGAGCATATGTTGTAGCATAACTAGACCACTTTCTAGCTGAATTTGCTGCGATGTATAAACTTGAATTTCATCTATGAAAAAGCCACGTTCGCATAATCAAAGTAAGAAGGGGCTTTGTCACGTGCACTAAATCTCTTCTACAAATTAGCTGAATGATTCCCAAGAGAAAATTTAAAATATTATTAGTAATTCTTTGAAGCTTCAAACATTTATTATTCTCTTTATTTTCAAATAAGAAAGCAAAATGGATAAGTAACCATTACTCATCAAACCACACTATCCATTGCATGGTCAGTTATTTTCCAAGTCGACCTAAATTTATCGCTACACTCTGTCATGATGATGCATCAAAACTGGGCACATCCGGCAACCATGCCCAATCCAAATTACATTTTAAAAAAACTGAGACAACCATTTCCTCTTACAACTTCAGGAAGACAAACTCTTCAATAGCAGGGATTTCTCCAATCTTCTTTAAAGTTTCCTTTCTAGGTTGTTCGTCCACTCCAATTGCCATTACAGCTTGCTTGCGTGGAGCAATCCTTCCTACACTCATGAAGCTGACATTCACGTTCTCCTGACCCAAAATACTCCCAACCTTTCCGATCATGCCAGGTTGATCTACCTGCCTACATAGTATAATGCTACCTTCCAAACTCACATCAACTTCAAAAGAGCCAACCTTCGTCAGATGGGGGACACCATCTTTCACCCTACCCTCAACCTTGATCTCCCCAGAGTCTGATATGGCACTAGCAAATCGGGATTCCACATTAGCAATCTGGACCTGAATGAATTCAAGTGGATTCTCAGGGGAACCATCAAGAATAACTCTCTCCTCGGTAAACCTAAGCCCTCTTTGTTTGGCAGTGAAATCAGCATTAACCAGGTTCACAAAAACACTGGATATGGGCTCGATCAGACCCTTTGTTATCATGGCACGAAGAAGGCGAGTGTCAAGATCATCAGGGGCCCTAGAGGAAGCATAAGTGACCTTTACTGTTTTTACACCACTTCCTCCTGCCACCAGCTGGACAGCCAGCCTACCCAGTTTCTCAGCAAGATCAACAAATGGTTTTAATTCAGTTAACACCTGCAGTTACAAAGGAAATAGATCTTAAACTTGGCCATTTCCATCACCAGTTTTGTAAACTAAGTTTAATTCACAAATCATGCTATATAATGATGTGCTCAGCATGTTTATGCTTAGAACAGTGGAACACTAAATGAACTGCAGAATTTCAAATTCGATGAGATATCAATGAATGACACTAATTCAGTGAGTTCCCTGTAACCTGAATTATTATTACAGATTTTTCGAACCAAACTTTTCCATTTATTTATTTTTAATCATTAGAGAAAATAACAGTTAAAATTAATAATTTAAGAAAATAGGCACTGTCTACAATATTTGAATCTAGTTATACATGATGTTAATGAATGTAAACAATGATTTTCTCAAGCCAAACATCTGTAGCACAAAGTTGGGTTACTTATTTATAAAGAAAAGGATACGGATAAGGGGAAGAGTAAAGGCAATATCGTGAAACAATATTCATGATGAAAAAGGAAGGGGATATAGATGAATTATTTTCTAGTACCTCTGAGGGAACCATTGGTGCATTGACTGCAGTAGCAGCAAGCTCCCCTTTCAGTGCCCCAACAACAGCTTCTGCTATTTCAATAGCCACACCTTCCTGGTCATCATTTTTCAGAGGTTAAAAAACAATAGTAACAAAGGAATAAAAGGTAGTGCTCACAGTCATAACCAAATTCTCTACGAAGCTTACCTGAGCTTCCATGGTACTGGCACCAAGATGAGGTGTTGCAGTTACTTGCTCGTGCTGAATCAACTTGCTGTCTTTTGGGGGTGGTTCCTCTGTGAAAACATCAAGAGCTGCCTGAAACAGTGAAACACAACACAATCATTATTTCTTTGGTAAGAAGAAACCAAATTATTTGCTTTCCTCTAGAGTGAATTATTAGTGCTTCCAAACATAAGAAGGCAAAAACCTGAGCCACAATTCCAGAATCCAGTGCCCTAACAAGTGCATCCTCATCAATGACCCCTCCACGAGCAACATTAACTATGCGAACTCCTTTTTTCATCTTTGCAAAAGTCTCGTCATTGAGCATCTTTGATGTGGCAGGCGTGAGTGGCATGTGCAAAGAGATGAAATCAGCAGTGCCAATGGCCTCTTCAAAGCTCAAAAGCTCCACGCCAATAGCTCGAGCACGATCTGCTGGAGCATAAGGGTCATGTGCAATGACATTCATACCAAGCCCCTTGGCACGGCGAGCAACTTCAGAACCAACCTTCCCAAATCCCAGCACAGCAAGTGTCTTCCCAACCAGGGACACTCCAACGTACTTATTCCTCTGCCATTTCCCTGGACAAGAGTAAATCAAGCAGCATGAAATTAATTGACCCTAGTAACTAGAAACAGAATTCATAACACGAATACGCCCATAAAAGATTATAAGAAACACAGCATCCAAAGAATATTCCATAGCCTCATCCCATACATTAAAAATGAAAAGATCTATCAGTCACACGAAATCACATCCTTTTAGCAGGAAATATTTAATACAAAATTCGGCTTCACAAATAGTAGATGCCTACAGTAACGTTCCCTTCAGGCATTTCAATACAGCATATACAATAAAAGCACGTGAAGCCAAACAAAAAGACTCAAAAAACATTAGTGTAGTTTGTAGAAAAACACATAATTCAAATTATTCATAAAACGCTTCAAACCAAGCATAATACAATAACAGGATCTAAATCTAAATGATGTCCAGCTAGATGAAATGTTCTCGAAAGAGAAACTCACCCGCTTTAACAGACGCATCGGCCTGAGCGACGTTCCTCGCCATGGCAGCCAAGAGCGCGATCCCGTGCTCGGCGGCGGCGACGGTGTTAGCGGTGGGAGCATTGACGACCAAGCATCCATGCTCGGTGGCGGCGGCCAGATCCACATTATCGATTCCGACTCCGGCTCTACCAACGACCTTGAGTCTCCCGCCGGAGGACTCAAATACCTCGCGCGAAACCTTGGTACCACTACGCACGATGAGCGCGTCGCAGAGCGAGATCTTGGTGCATAGCTCCTCAGGACTGAGATTGTAGGAGCAATCGACGTTGGCGAAGTCTTTGAGGAGCTTAAGGCCTGCTTCTCCGAGCTTCTCGGCAACGAGAACGGTGGGCTTGGCGTCGAGGCCGGCGGAAACAAGAACTACGAGAGAGCGGGAAGTGCGACGGCGAGGGCGCAGGGACACGGAGAAGACGGAGGATAGAGGAAGCTTAGAAGAGAGAGAGAGCGAAGCAGAAGGGAATCGAAGCGATTGAGAAGTAGCGGTGGCCATCCACAATTTGGTGCGTTGTTTGCGGGAGAGTGAGTGAATGAATATGTAGAGTTAGTGGGAGTTGGGGGGTTTATAATGATAGGGTTTATGAATGGGTTTTCTCTTTCTCTTCTTGTTATATTATATTATAGAAAAATGTCTATTATATACTATTTATTAGAGTTAGAGGTAGGCAGCCCTCGGGGTTGGTACCAATTCCACGCGCTCTTGTTCAATATGCCAAGTACAATCGGATAAGTGCGCTAAAGGTCGAGTTATAATAATTATTTATTATTTTTTAATTATACATCAATTCAATTCTGCTAATAATAATTATTTTTAAGAATAGAAATAAATTTATGATTATCATTAATTTTAAATTTTTAAGTTAAACTTAAATCATTTCAAATAATAAATTTTATTAAAAAATATTATAAAATTATAACAAAATTTTGTCATGATACTTTTTAATTATATATATATATATATATATATATATATATTATCTTTATTTTTATATATGAAAAAAATATTTTTACTCACCACGGTAAAATATCGATCTAGTCGAATCTGAATTAAATTGAATAAAAAAAATAATACATATATATATATAGTGTTTTTAAATTATTTATTATTATTTAATTAGAATAAAAAATAAATTTGTAATTTTTTAAAAATATTTTTATTATTTACCATAAAACTTGCAATGATTAATAATAATAAAGTGTAAATGTTATATTTATAATTCAAAAATAAAATTAATTACAACTATCAGGTAATTTTCTTTAATGTGCAATAATTAAATACTTTAAGTATAATGTTGTTATTTTATTAAATGGCAATTTGAAAACTTAAACAAAATGCTTTCCATTCGTCGTATTATTAATGAACCTGATAAATATTATATACAAATAAAAATTTTCATCAAGTTATATTATCTTTTAATCATGCATTTATTTCTTAAAAATACGTATTTTTTTTCACTTGTGATAACTTTATTACCATGCTTTGAAAATTTTAGTAAAATAAAAAATAAGAGACATTTTTTTAAAAATCGAACATTATCTGATTCCAAAATACGAATCTGTTAAAATTGACAGTTTCTTAACATTCTAGAAAAGGAATTATTTTTTTTAATAAAGTTATAGTTATATTTTTAAAATAGTTTTCTTTAAGTGTTAGCGTGAGTTTCACGTTAAATAAAAATAAGTGAAATGAATAATGTATAAACAAAACTGACCAGGATCCTCTCATGTTCGATTTCGAACATGACATGTTCGCATGTTTTTTAACTTTCGCTTAAGCGAAATTTTTACTCGCTTAAGCGAATATTAAAAAATATGCAAACATGACCGTCATGTTCGAAATCGAACACGAGGGAATCCAAATCCAAACAAAACTCACATATCTAATGTCTTGACGGATGATGAAAATATTTGTAATATTTTTTTTTCAAAGTTTTGATATTTTTAAACATATAAGTTAAAATCAAAGTATTTTTAATTTTAAATTCTATTTCAAACATGTATTAATAGAAAATAAGAAATATTTATCATCACTATTTATATTTTTATTGCTTTTAATTAAAAAAATTATTATTTAGAAGTTCTAATCTTTATTTTTATTGGAAAAATAAATCAATAAAAGGTAACATTAAACATTCTGGAATAATTTAAGTCTTTTGGTGATTTGGTATGTGCCCTATTGGTTTGGTTGACACACTCATAGTAATAATAAAACCATGCAATTGCAAATCAGTGAAATCACACAAAAAGAAAATGGTCTCTTTTACCCAAGATTTGATTCACTTTGTTTACCAAAGTCTCATAAAATGTTCTTATTTTGATTTTATCGTATTAAAAATTAAAAAGTCACGCATGATTTATAAATTATAAGGAGTAAATTAACAACTATTTCACATTTATCTGTTTCACTGATCGTAATGTGTTTTTTAGGTCAGTTTAGAGTTTACTTGGTGGGGTACACAATCATTTTCATTTGATCTAAATAAAAAATAAAAATTCAAATAATACATAAAAAATAAATTATTAACCTTACTCCTCGATTGTGATACGAAAATTACTTACAGATTTTTTGAAATAGAGCGAAAAGCCAAGAAGTTTTTATTTGTTTTTCAACCACCTTTTGAGTTTTGAGCGATGGTTGGTGAAGTTTGTCAAATTGATATTAACCCCTCGCCAAAAGAAAAATAAATAAATAAAAAATCGACCAACAGAATACGACGCTCTCCTTGTCGCGTGGTGCTACCGAGCTATTTCAATCCAACGAGTCAGATTTGACAATCTTAATGATGAATCAAGTATCTGGTATATTCGTCTATGAGGGTTGGTACCCTTTTATTTTATTTTTGAGCTTTGGTTGGTGCGTTGATTTTTAAATTTTTTTATATTATTATTTTATATAAAAGAAAAGTTTATTAATGTAAACTAAATATTTTTGGCTATAAATTTAATATTATACAAACTAATCAAAATAAATATTTCAATTAATTAATTAACATCTATTATAATAATTTTGATTAGCTAATGATTTAAATCAATAAAATATTATAATTATTTTAAATAAATGTTTCATTTTAATATATAAATAATTTATGTCATGTATAAATTTTCTTAAGCATTTTTTTACGCATTAATCTTATCTCTGTTCTTTTACTTCCCTATTTATTATTTTTATCTACACAACACATTATCTTGAGTTCCAAAGAGCTTAGCAAAGTATTCTTTCAGTCATACTACTATTCCATTTAACAGATTTCTTGCTCTTGATATCCAAGTTTGCTCCTCACTCTTTTTCCCACTTGCTGATTGCTAAATCTTCCCTCTGTTGGCTTAGATAGAATTGAAGTTGACGAGTCATCTTCTTTTTCAATTTACCATTTAACTCTTTCAAATTCAGGTTGCTCTCGTGGACCAAAGGAAAAATCTGCTTGCTCACACACAGAGTCTACCCTTATTTTGATTTTTTTTAGATACCCTTCATCCAATCCTTTTCCTTCTGAAAACGACCAAATCCTAACCATAACCAAAGATTACTACACCAGGGGTAATTTTTTCTCCTTTTGTTTTTAATTTATTATTATTTTTCTTTGTATATAAAGGATAACCTCTGGCAAAATGCTATAAAGATTATTTTCTTTCAAGGAAGAGAGATTATCAGAGCAAATAGAATCTCACCCAACAAAACATTTTACGTACGCATGGCAAAAATTAGAACCCCAATTGATGTGCTTAAACGACTTAGGCATCTACCACTTGAGCCAAGTTCTGTTGGTGTTGTGTATTACTCTTTAAAATAGTTACTTTTATCTCTCTTTCGAGTGTGTATGAGTAATTAGTGAAAATATTTATTCTTGATTAAAAACGTTGGTGATTATCATATAAACATTGAACTACAATGACAATCTATTGAGAAAACAAATCTTTTAATATTATTACAACATGCAATTCAATTATAACATCAAACGGTTTTTTATTTTTATTTTATGGTAATTTGTCTAAAACAGTAAAGACTTTATTTCTCTGAGTCTCATTTTTTAAAAGCAGTGTCTTACATTATTTAAGAATCGTTGATTAATAAATAAATAAACACAAATGTTTATTCCTTAAGTGATCCATTTATACCATTTCCCGGTTTAAGGAAACTCTCAAGGACACATATAAGGTACACTACCAAAAAAATATGAACTACGTAGATAAATATGTAACATTCTATAAAATAAATATTTTAGGAACAAGGGATCTGTGATCAAATACTGGTTGCAGGTAATGCTCATATATTTTGATGTAAAATACAGATCAGTGCAATTTAATTAACAAGTTTGCTGTTTTAATATGCAACAGGATAAAAAAAAAAACGGTGCGTCGAGGAAAAATCCTATCAGAAGCAGACAGTATGGACGACGGCGGCAGGTGATTGTTTTTCATTTTATTTTCATTCTTTCCTGTCATTATTGTACCAAGAATCTCAACTATATCAGAAGAAATGTACGATGTCTTATTCCAACAATATTTCTTGAATATTTTGAGACATTTGATTTGTATCCTGATTTGAAAAGATTATAAGTTTTGGCTTTTCACACGTATAAATACATAAGAAACTGTTCTTTAGTTGTATAAAATATATGATGAAATGCTTGAAATACTCTAACTTATCATGTTTTGCACTTACTACCAAATGTTGTCTTGGTGACAGTTTGGTGGGGGGAGGTTTGTTAGTTCTGTTGCAATATTCTAGTTTACTTTTATAATAAAATCCAAACATGCTCTTAGTTTGATGTTTTGAGATTCCTGATTATGATTCATACTTTGTATCTGGAATTTGAACCCTCTTCCGCAAGAATACTGGTTAAAAATGCTAAACTCTGTAAGAATACTTAATTCATTTTGCCACCGTCAGCAGCGACCCAAAAAAAGTACTCAAAACCAGCAAGTGATGTTGCACACCACATTTTTTCCATACAATTTCCAAAAAGCTCTATATGAAGCAAGAGGATAAATAAAAATCAGAATTGAACCTTGAAAACAGTGGCTTGAAATTGGAGACTTTTGCCAAATAGTTCAAGCATCAAAATGGGTAAGATAGGCCTCAGCCAGCATGTGCCCCAATTGAACTTGAGCCTCGGTGGTTAGGTGAAGATTATCTTCCTTCAATTGCAATCCCTTGGCATCCACGCAAATCACCTTCGGAATATCAATCCCTTTTTGTGCTTCTCTCACTTTCTCCATATACTCGGACCCTGAGGCCAGTGCAACCTACATATCATACACGGTAAACAATCACATCCTCATAGTTTAGTTGCTAACATTTTTAAGGTTTTTTGTTTTGGCTCCAAATAAATAAATATCCATCATATTATAACTTTTTGTTTTCCTCCCCTCCTATTTAAATTAAATTGTATAAATTTATTGTGTAAAATTATCATTTTTCCTAAATAAAAAAATAACTTAATAATCTTCGAAACCTGAATAACGGGAAGAGAAGGCAAATTGAGGTCTTCTCGAACATTGTGGATGAGGGTTTCCATGTTGACCTTGTAAACCTCAGCATCATGTTCACTCGACGTGTCGCTTTCTCCTTGGTACCAAAGCAACGCTTTGATCTCGCAATGGTCGTCGCCCTTCACGCTTTCTTTAGCTCTCTTCACCATGTTTTCGTACAATTCCTGCCCACGCGCCCACTCCTTTACGGCGGTGCCGCCCACGGCACAGGGGACAAGTCTCAACTCTCCGACCACGCTCCGTCGCAGCGCGTTTGCAAAGGACATGCCGGGACCGACGCCGCAGGCTTTTTTGGTGTCAATATCGGCGTGGAGGGGTTCGTGTGCAGGTTCCCATTGGAGAGTGGCTGTGAGCCGAAGGATGGACGGATGGGGACGGCACTCCGGCGGAACGACGCCGTCCCAGTACTGGTTAGGGGTGTGGTGGGGATTCTTGATAACTCCGCCACGACCGGCCATGTTGCTTTGGCCCGATAGTATAAATATTTGCGTTTTGGGTTTTGGGGTGTTGTGGTTTGGATCTGTGTTGGTTTCCGATTCCATGGCTTCCACTTGCAGCAACAGAAAGGGGCTATGGTGGCCTAGCACATACATCCGTTGTTTATTTAAGCATTTTAATATTCGTAGAGCGGTTGTACTAACAATGTAATTTTTAACTAATATATTTTAATTAGATTCTTTACAATCGAACTAATACAGTAGATAAAATTCAATAAATTTTTTTATATAAATAATAAATAAAACAAAATTTTATGTTCTTATTTGATTTTCTAATGCTGCACATTTTCTTATCTATTTTCAAATTTTGAGTCAACTGTTTATCTTTTATTTATTTGAGATATATGATATTTTAAAGATTAAAAAGTATTAAAGTTTTTTTAATTAAATTACTGATTTTATTATTTATTAATATAAAATTAATAGTAATAATTTTTTTTATGTGTAAGAAAATATTATCTCTTTATCGTGACTGCTATATTGGCAAAATTCAACCACGTTTGATTTTGTTATTGGGCTTGATTTATGTTTTTAAACTTGTGTAGGGCTTTGATGTTTAGAGCCCAAAGTTGTTTGTGTTAATAATAAAAAACTATTGGACCTAGGCTGTCTTTTCAGGGAATAATGAAAAACAAGATGTAAAATCACTAAATTGAATAATTTTAGACATAACCTTATTTGCAGTTAAAAAAATAAAAATAATAAATGATATATGACCGACAAAAAAGACAAATCTTTTATTTTAATTTTTTCATTTTGAATCTTTTATTTGCAGTTCAATTTTCATACTTCAAAGGACTTTCTTGGATCTTAACCCAAAAGGAAACTGATTAAATGGACCAAGCAAGGATTTTGTATATTAATAATTTTCCTAGACAATGGTTGAAAAATTTTCAAAATATATTTTTTATAATATTTAATATTATTAATATATTATAATAAGTTTTATTAATTTTTAATTACTATTTTAAATATATTACTTAGCAAAATCATGTTAAATGAATATGTTACACTGTCATAATTTTAATGTAACAAGTGTATTTTGTTAAAAATATATATCAGTTTTAATTGTTTAAATATAATTATGATTATTGAAGTTAACAAAATCTACATTAATATTGCTATTTAATCTGTCATGAAACTTTATTTAACAATAATGAGGACGAGTGAGGGAAAAACGTGGAATATATTGCTTTAAACAGAGGATGAAGAAGAGTGGAGAGGCCACGAAGTTATGGCATAAACATTGCCAGGGTTTGGAGACTGGTAGTGTCGATAGATAGGGTTTTGTGCGTTAGGTCATTGGCAAATCATGGAGTTGGTGAGTGCGCACGTGCCATGCGTGTTAGATTATTATCAAAATGGAAACTTTTCTCTGTTCGCGAGATACATGAACATTATCGCATGAATAAAAGAACTTGGGATTATTTATTTTTTTAAAGGTTACACATGAACTCAATTTTTATTTTTATTTTAATTATGAATGAGTTTATATCATCTATATCATAATTATATATGCGGATTAGTAGATTAATTGTGATTTGATTTTATTTTGTAGATGTATTAAATTGTAAAAAGAAAAGTAAAAAAAATTTCAAATATTGATTTTCAACTTTTCCACTCACTTAAAATCACTTACTGACATTATCGGAGTTTAATCTCCACATTTGACTTATTACTCACATTTAGGTAGAATAAAAGAAAAAATGAACATGGACGAATCACTAAACATTGTGTTTTAAGGCAGCTGTTCATAGTCTTAAAAAATGCAGCTAAACCATTTTAAGATTCACCAAGAAACAAAACCCATCATCAATCTGCTGACACTGTTTTATTTCCTTTTCCTCGATTTAAAGGGTATGCAGGAAACCACATGCATCGGTGTTGAATTATTCATATATATTAAAACCAACAATCACAAGTCGTTCTACCAGTGAAGATGAATGCCAGTTAAAAAAAGTACTGTATTCTGTAGATTTAAATTTTAGTAATTTATAGATAATAGACCGAGACAACAAAACATCTCTTTCTTAATATCTTAATCCTGACATAATGCTTTTGATTTTCTTTTGTTATGTAGGCGCGCATGATAATTCTTTTTAAATAAAACATAGCAATCATGGAGTGCACATTATTATACCAAAAACTTTAGATCCACACAGCCCAAAATTTTGTGGAGCCTAAATTAAGCACTCATCCTCACATCATTCACATGTACGAATAAACATTCATCGCCTCTTGCGGAAGCTTAATAGTCAGCAACATCGGCAATGTATGCCCATGCCTATGGTCTCCACTAAAATCACCTTAATTATAGAGACAAGGATTCGATTCGATTTAGTCAAAGTTACAATCATTGTTACCTCGCATAAACTAACACTTCTCCCTAATCTTTTCCTCATTCCATGCTAATTCAAGTCAACAACAGATGGAAAAGGCCAATCAGCATGACCTAAAAACGGGTTGCAAGATACATCATCATCATTATGTTTATGTTGAAGAATTAATTAGCGGAAGCAGAAGGTATCTTCTCTAAGACTTGTAAAACCTCTTTCATGGACGGTCTCTTTTGTGGGACAAGAGAGGCACAGCTAAGTCCTAACTTGAAGCATACCATTATCACATTTTCCCTCCCTTCCATCTCACACCTTATTGCCACGTCAGCCATCCTTAAAACCCTGTTTTTCTCATCTTCCACTGAACCGGGTTCATGCCACTGCTCCCATTCCCGGTCCGAGAAAACCCTCCCACTGAGAAGCTCCAACAAGACCACCCCAAAAGAATACACGTCCCATTTGGGGTTTGGTTTCATGTTCTGAAATGACTCTGGTGCTTGATAGGGCATTTGGGTCACACTACTAGACGACGATGAACCAAATGGAGGAGGGTCTTGTTGGGTTCTTTGGTTCACCATTAATTGCCTAGCTGAACCGTGGTTAATATCATTCAAGAGAAGCCGGTCCAACCCAAAATCGCTGATTATGGGTTCCATTTCTGAGTTTAACAAGATGTTGCTCGGTTTAACATTGCCATGCACGTGTTTCTTCTCATGAATGAAGGCCAAGCCTCGTGCTACCCCTTTTGCAATCTTCAACCGCATCTCCAAGGACAAGTTCATAGGAGACGAACCCGTTCTTCCTAAACATAATCAAACTTTCATTAATTAACAACAAAAACAATTAATCAAACAACATAATTCGTAATACAATTCCTCTAACGTGTATCGTAATAAAACTTATATATAGTAAATATCACGTGATCTAATGTATAAATGTTGTTTTTAATAAATTTATTATTTAGGTGCCGGGTGAACTTACTGTAACCGACGGTAGCGAGGCTGCCATTGGGAACATAGTCACAGATTACAAGTTTTTCTTCTTGACCCCAGCAAAAGGCACGAACCTTAAGCAAGTTTTGATGGCGAAGCTTTGCAATGGCACGCACTTGGTTCTCAAAGTCCTTCATTCTCTCAATCACACACTCACCAATCCTTCTAACAGCAAATGTTCTTCCATCTTCGAGCACTGCTTTGTACACGATGCTTACTCGGCTATTTCCCAAAATATACGCTGAAGCCTTAAGCAAAGTCTCAAGCTCAAGCCTTGTTTCCCCGTCGACCGTAACAAGAGTGCCTTCTCTTGGAAGGTTCCCGTTTTGTGCTGTGATTATGTCCACTGCAGTATTGTTCTCATGGTCACTATCAGAGGTTGTTGCTTCTGAAGTTTCTTCCTCTTTGATTGTTAAGCAAGAACATGGAAGAGAGTGTGTAACTGTTCTCGCTTCTGCTTCTTGTTTTGCCACGCTTTCCTCCTTTTCTGAGTTGGTGATAATAGTAACCGCATCAGTGCTCGTTTTTGGATCTCTTTTCTTTCTCTGTTGGTAGACGAAGAGAATGATGAGGGCCAAAAGGGCCATGCCAGCCAAGTCTCCTACCACAATTCCTGCTATGGTAGCGGGTTTTAGGCCACTTGCTGACACATTCTGAGAACCGTTTGAGCTTCCTGTGGTGTTTGTTGAAGGGTTTGAGTCAATTGTTTTGGGTATGGCTGCAATTGCTGGTGAAGAATCGGTGACATTGGGTGGAGGAGTGGACATAGTAGAGGGGACAGTGCATAGAATCTTTAGAGGCTTACCGCAAAGATCAGCATTTCCTGATAGGAACTCAGTTTTCTGGTTGAGCAAAGCCCCGGACCCTGGTATTGGGCCTGCCAGATTGTTGAAGGAGAGGTCAATTGTGGTGTTTTCAGGAATCTGTTTGGCAAATGTTGGTGGTATTGTTCCTGAAATCTTGTTATAAGAGAGGTTCAAGTAGCGCAAGTTTTCACCACCAAAGTCATTTGGAAGAGAACCATTGAGCAAATTGGAGGACAGATCCAAATTCTCCACATAGTTGAACCCACTTGGGACACTACCAGAAAAATAGTTACTTTTCAAAGAAACAACGGCTAAGTTTTGTAAAGCAGTGAGATTTTCTGGGATCAACCCAGCAAAGGCATTGTCAGAAAGGTTGAGAATTTGAAGCCTTGTCATTTTACCAACCAAGTCAGGTAGCTCTCCTGAGATGACATTGTTTGAGAGAGAAAGAACTTGAAGCTGCGAAGAGTTGAAGACAGAGTTGGGTAGAGACCCATTGAGGAAGTTGTTGGAGAGATCGATGTGTCGAAGGTACTGGATCATGCCTAAGGCTTCAGCAATGGAACCCAAAAGCTGGCTATTTGGAAGGACCAAGCTAGTTACTCTGAACAAATCAGGGGTGCCAGGTGCTCCAATTTCAGTGCATGTGACTCCAACCCATGAACATGGAGTTGCATCATCATAGTTCCAGCTCTCTAAAACTGAAAGCGGGTCACTGAGGATGGAGTATTTGAATTTAAGCAAGAGAACCCCATCAGAGTTAAGAGCTGCGGCAGATTGAAGCAGTAGAAGAAGGAAGGAAGAGACTCTCCACCACAAATGGAGATTATTGGAGTTAAGGTTCATGATTCCCTGAGGTGATACAACAACATATTGGCAACTACAAGTTCATGGTGTAGAAAAAGAGCTAGGATGGAGGAGAAGAGAGAAAGAGGTGAAAGGATATGGTCAACAACTACAATACAACTTGTTTCTGTTCACCAAATCTTTGGATCAGTTATTGGTGGTGCTTGGGGGAGTTAGAGAATTAGTAGGAAAAATAACATATTTGGGAGTAGCTAGGATGTGTTAGAGAATGGCAGACAAACAGGGTGTAAGAGGAGTAGAGGACGAAAAATTATTAAATGAAGGGTACTAAGAAAATGAAGGAGGAATTGGGTTGAGTTGGGAAGGGAAAGTGGTAGCAGAAAGCAAATTCTGCTTCTTCGTGCAGTTGATAACGATGAACTGAACCTAACTGAAGCAGAAGATAATAAAAGTGAGTTATATGGTACTGCTGTGCCAACTATCTCTGTCAAAGTCTTAAGAAAAAACAAGATTTTCTTTAGACATAAGTGGCAAATAGAACAGAAAGGAATCTAATAGATGCTACAAGACACCCAAGTGAGTTGGACCCCATAACTTGTAGCAGAATATGTGAGAGTCCTCCACCACCCTCCGTGAATTTAGTATTCCGTGGCTGTGGGTGAAAAATGAAATTTCTAGGAAGCTGATTCTAATACATTTTTTACTCCCTATTTTATGTTTATATATAAACATCCTTTCAGTTTGAATAATTTAATTTTAGAAAACATGAACCTCAAAATTGAACTAATATATATTGGATTTGGTTGATTTGGTTCATTTATGTGATAAAATTTAAACTAATATAACTAGTTCAATTTATGAGGTTAATCGAATTGATTTAATGTACCGTCCGAGAGCAGGGCGTGCAAGTGCTAGGGGGTTATCTCCTATGCTCACTGAATCTACGAAGGAGACTCCACGTCTCCACGGCATAGGACTCACTTAAAAACTAATAAATGAATAAACAGAATTATTATTGTCCGATGAATAATTTAAGTAACTTAGCATCTATAGAATTATAATATTTTGTAACTTTTAGATGAGAATTTGAAGGCTGAGATTTTGCTGCAGTGAGATGCACTGCAGGAGAGAATTCGAGTCCAAGGTTAGGCCGGTGCAATTTCTCAATCCATACCGTTTTGTGCTGGTTTGGTTTTGGCCACTGAGGGTCTTATGTGAGCCAAGAATAATACAAAATTATACAATCATTTCATATTTATTAGGGGTTTGTCTACCATTGCTTTTGGCTTAGGCTTTTGACAATAGGGTAATTCTCTCTCTCTATATCTCCTTTGCAAATAAACTATTAGATTTTTTCGTATATTATAGAAACATTTTAAAATTTAAATATAAAATAAATTAAAGGTGAACACAAATTAGAGTTACAAAGGGCATGGTGATTAAAGGGCAAGCAAAATGCAATTCATGGCTATAGAATTGCTTATGAAAGAGCACATGTATAATGGACAACAAAGCTGAAACCCTGGGAGTTGGGACCATGAAGGATGGCCCTTTCCTTTTATGTAACTCTTTTTTTTAATGTTTGTGTTAGACCCGTTTCCATTGGGTTCGGTACAATCTACGTTTAGGGACTGGAACTGGGACAATGACTACCAAGTGATATCAAATAATTAGTAGTTAGTGATTGCAAATAAATTGTTAATATTCGGTAACAAAGTCACTAATCATCATAGGAGTTTCACCAATCACCAATCGCCACATTTCTGGTAATACGTACAATTTTAACAAGACGGGGTCACGGGTGTAAACTATATGGAGGGGAAAACATTTTACCTATCACAAAGTAAAGGCCATTCATAGGAGTAGTAAATATTGGAGAGGTGTTCCTGTGACTTCACATGTTGCTACTTCAATAACCATTAAACTCGTTGCTACCGCCATTGTCGCCATCATTTTCTTAAATAATAGACTCTGAAGCCTTCAAAAGGCATGTCGCGGGTAATCTTAACTACAACCTTAAAAGTGATAAATTATTGTCCTCCATGAATGTGTTCTCACTGCTTCCTGAGCAAGCCACGATTTCTAAGGGGGGAAAATTTTATAGCTCCAAAATGTAAAAATAAATTATATATACAGGGAAGCATAAAATCCAAATCCCAAAGTACCCCTTTTTAGTCTTAGTCACGAGGTTACTTTGTTGTTTTTAACACATAACACACACCCATTTAAATTTATTAATATATGCGAAGAGTAATATCGCAATTTTAATTCATAAAAACTCTAATGACACTTATGGACACCTGTTTGATATTTTTTATTTTTATTTATCTTTTTACTTGTTATATCATATCACCTGTTTATCTATTATTCTCTCTCCTTTATTTTTTATGTCTACGTGTAGACACCTCACATATTTTCCTGTATATCTTATTGTTGAGTATGCTTGTAATTTCTGAAAAGAGACAAAACATTCACATGAGAGTTCACCATTTTCTGAGATGTGAACGCTGTTCAAGGCTATGAGCAAGCGATTTTAGTAAAAACGAGGATACTGTTCAGGTTATTAACTCCAGATCCACACACTGCTAGTATTTGAGATTGGATCGCTTAAATTCTCAAGAAGCATTTCAATGAATCGACAAAAGCTTACTTGCAGATGCAGTGTACCATCTGAGAAGAATGTGAGAATAGTTTCACACAACTATTTCTTGATTGTCTATCTTTTCAGCATCACTGGACCAGACCTTAGCACCAATAGTTTGTCCCTTTAAGAACGAGTTTTGCAACTTGCCGGTAAAGAAATGTCTTGGAGCTATAAAATGGGAGAGCTCAAGAACAAAATTTTATTATGTTTAATTAATTAAGAGTGGGAACTACTTTAAGAATTATTTTAAATGTATAAATAATAACTATCTATACTTATAAGTAAAGATTATTTTACATAGTTATTTGTCCGTAAAATAAGAAGTACCCCTTGTCCTTTCACGGTAGGTCTCTCACAAAATTATAATCTATGATGATTAAGAGGAAATGATGATGTGAAATTTTAATTTATTTTATTTTTCTAGCTGAACTCTTGGAGAACAAATTGGTGATACAACAGTGAACAGATATTTGAGAAGCAAGCTGGTGAGTTGGAGGTTGGAGACTATTCCAGTTCACAGCATTATTATGCATGTTGCAAAAAAGTTTCTTTCAGCTATGATTGAGAAAACTCATGCAATGTAAGACAAAAGAGTTAAAGGGTATTCCAAACTATTATAACAGGACCGCTACTAGAAGCAATGGTCCCAGAATGGAAGCCAAGAGAATCCATGAGTGAAAAGCCTTTATCTGTCTTATGGAGTGTGTGAAATCAATGTGGATAAAAATGGTGAGCATTTTCTGATCTACATGACAAACAATTCATCCGAAACGCCCAAAAAAAGAAAAAAGAACTCTTTGATTAGCGAATGTAGGCTGCAAATGTAAGTGTCATTACATAACGAGGCAGTTGGAATCATGTGCATGAGACGAGAGATTCACGCATGACATGAGGAGTCTGTAGTGAATGTATACAAGACCATGAGCCAGTTTTATATTTCACATGTTAGACTTTGTCGTGAATATTGATTTGTTAGAATAGAACAGTAGCATAGATAAATATGCAACAGTGATAGTTACTAGAATGTTACAATTCGGGAATCGAATCGCATGATTTGATTACTCAATCGTAACAAATCGGTGCAATTTTATCTCCTCTTAAACTTTTTTTTTGGCAATTGTCTTCACTTACAACATAAGGACATAAGCCAGGGATGATAGTCCAGTAAAATTCCAAACCAGGGCCTCGCTTTGCCCAAAGTTGTCTACAATAATTGCTTTTAAATCCATCTAAGCTCGAAGTTGCTTAAAGGGCAGGTGGCCCTACCCACTTTTGAATCCGTTTCCCTCTTACTTTTCTTTTTAGGTTTGGTCGTCGTGTTCTTTCTTTCAGTGGTCATGATGACGATGATGCCTTTGTTTCTTTTTGGGGTTTTCTCAGCAGTACCCGTCGAGAGAGGTCATTAAACTACGACACGTATTACCATATTGTATATTATTGATCACTTAACATAGTCGATAATGACAATGTTGTCTCATCACATGTTTACCTATGTATGGTAAAATTAGACCTCGTGATTCCGTGGAGTTGGACTATATATCTTCGTCTTCACAATTATTATTATCTAATTTCAGTCCTTAAAATATATTATTTATTAAAAAAAATGATTTTCAGCCTTGAGATCTTAGACTGCAGAAAATTGCTTAGAATTCGGAGTTCAATAATAGAACAAGAGATATAGCATCTAATTTTCATATTATTATATTTGCTCCAAACTGATGGCATTGTCAGGGAATAACAATAAATCGCCCTACCATTGATTTATTTGTTTAGAGTAAATTAATACTTCCTTATACACAGGATGAAGTCCACTTAATTTACGCTTTTAATTTTAAACCTTTATTTTATTTACCATTACCATGTCTTCACCAATATAAAAAAAAATAGCACAAATTGTTTAACACCGTTGATTATTGAAAACAGGTACCATGAACATTAAATAACAATAAGAGTCATTTGTATTTTACCCATTGTAGTCTCTGGTCAAGTTTTGGGCTTAATGATTCAGGCATCAGGCCCAATCAGCAGAGGAAATGCCCAGAAACGCCCAACAAAAACTGGACCTACGAACTGATAACAGCCCACTAACACTCGGAATTCAAAACCGTGGGAATCAGAGAAAGCAGACGAAGGAAAAAGAGAAAAAAAGGTTAATAGATACTTCCCTTTTTTTACGCCAGCAGCAGCAATGCAAACGCTACTTCTGCCGGCAACACGCGCCGGCAGCATCATGGCGGCGTCTCCGGGGGTTCCGTTGTCAGCCTCCTCCATCTCCGCCCCCCGTCTTCCTCAAACATTTCTCCGGCCGATTTCCTTACCCTCTCTCCCTCTGAAGCTGAACCATTCTTCTTCCTCTATATCTCGTCGACCATGGAAGCTTCCCTTCACCGTAAGCGCTTCTTCTCAAGTGTCTCCAGCTTTCACTCCCTCCAACGACGAATCGGAAAAGGCAAAACTCGAGCAGGTACTGTCTTGTCCTTCCCCTCTCTCTAACCTACGAATGAGCGTGTGTTTTCTGAATTGATGAGTCACCTTCAGCGCTGGATGGTTCTGGAATATTCGATTGCCAAGTCGAATTGCATGTCTAGGGTTCGAAAATGTAGTTTGAGTCGATGAGATTGGCAATGTGGTGTAACGAAAGCGATTTCGTGATTGTTGTGGTGCAGGTTGCGAAGAGATTGGAGAAGACAGCGAGGTATTTCAAGCGTTTGGGTAGCTTAGGGTTTTGGGGTCAGCTAGTGTGCACCGTGGTGGCAGCCGTCATACTTTCATTTTCGGTTGTCGTCACCGGAAAGGTGACTTCGCCGGCAACGTTTTATGCGACTGCGAGTGGAATAGTGGCTGCCTTCATTTCTGTGTTTTGGTCCTTTGGATACATTCGCCTCTCTGAAAAGCTTCGAAGAACTGCAAATGACCCTACTAAGGTGCCTTATTTATAAAAAAAAAATAGAAAAAAATAAGTGTGAATAGTTGAATTTGCTATGGAATTAAGTGATTTTAATTGTTGTAAGTTGTAACTGTCTAAACGTCATCATGTTAATGTGAAATCAGTGTGTGTCTGTGACATGTGAAATTGTCTATTTAGTGATTCTTTAGATGTAGCTTAGCTTCACCTCTTACTTGTGTTTTCAGGCACCTCCTCGTGCTGATGTAGTGAAAGGCTTGAAAAATGGTATAATAATGAACCTCTTTGGAATGGGTGCTGCTATTCTTGGGATGCAGGCCACGGTTGGATTGTTAGTTGCAAAGGCTCTCACTTCTTCGGCCACCCCATATTATCAGGGAATCTCTCCTGGTTATAGCCCTGTTCTCGCATTGGATGTATTTTTGGTGCAGGTAAAACTTAAGGTTTAATATAAGGTTTCCTTCTTACAGTTGAAAATTTTTGTTTATTTTCTTGCCGGATTTGTGCTCAAGCCAGATACTCTCATTAGTTTCCCAAATTCCCAGTGTTCCGCAAACTATGACCTGCATATTTGTTAAATTATTCAGAAACCTTTCACTGTAGAGAAAGACTTGGTCTCAACTTGTTGGAAATTTTGAGTTGTTAGTATAATTGAAAGCAGAACGTTTTCTAGCATCAGAAACATATTAGAGGGTGTGAAATGAATTTAGCTCCTCTAATACGAGGGTTGCACTCAAGATGGAAAAGTCTATACTTAAAAGATTGTAATTAAATACACCCACTTGTATTACAAACTGTAAAGTTCTTAAAATCTAGGAAATTTACTCCCCTAGATTTCCAGTCACTGTTTATAACTCTTCACACCGCCAAAATATACCCATTAATTTAGGCGACAAATTTAAAATAATGTAAATAAATTTTTAAAATAGGAAAAGTTGTGATGGTGTCTAGTGTTTTTTTTACCTATCAAGTTGATATGGTTTCACTAATAATTACAGAGAGAGGAATGCTAGTAATAACCTTTATCATACACTTTTGTAACACACTCTTTACTGTTCAGTGAAATTTATGCGGTTCCACCAAATAATAAATGGGACTGATTAATTAGGGGATATGATCCGCATTATTTAGTTCTATACCAACATCATCAAATAGTGGAGATAGTGTTAGAAAGAGTAATAGAGAATATATTGCTAGGATTTCTGCAATGATACCTTATTTTACTTTTAGTTACTTTTTCCAAAGTGTTGTTGAGGAAATGCTGAAAATAACAAAAGCTTGTTTCCAAATTTCTTTCACTAAATCTTGAAACAAAATGAAATTAAAATAATGTGGAATTTTGTAATCACTAATTAGTGAAAACATTTCTGTTGAAAATGTCTGCAAATTAATGTGGGCAACATCTTGATTGTATTGGATACAACATATGGTCCTAAGCAATAGCAATGTCTGACTGCTAGGTGCCATTCATCAAGAAATGATTTCTGGTGTTAAACAATTTTTATCCTTCTTTGTTTTACAGGCTTCAGCTAACACTATTCTTTCTCATTTCCTTGGGCTTGTTTTCTCACTGGAGTTGTTACGATCAGTCACGTTACCTCCTTCAGAAGCAATTCCATTTCCCAAGTTTGCGTAATGTGTGCCCCAAGACTAGCATGATAAACACACCCAAAAATTTGTACCCTCATTTCTAGTGGTTGTTTTCTTAATGAATTGTGTTCAACTTTGATACAGCATCTTAAGGCCCTCTTCCTGGTGATAGATATCGTCAGGTATTTACAAGTTAAAAAGAACCTGTGCAATATTGTTAGTGAGCATGATATTGCCTCCACAAATGAAGATCCGTGGCAGATTACCACGATTGCAGTGGTAGACCGCATTGTCTGCACTCTACAGCTTGGACCTGTTTGGGTTCCAACGCTACCCCTTATCACTTTCATCGCTTGTTTACGGTAAGTGTCAATAGGAGAAATTTCAAAACGCAACTTTAAAATATTGTTTATTAGACCTGTCATGCAATCTCCAGGTTTTTGTTTCTTTTCAAAATACCCGCTAGCTTGTTTGACAGTATGTTGGAGAGTTTTTATCTAATAACAAAATTTTGTATTTGCATCACTTTTTATTATGCATCAGAATCTTGTACGGGATTGGTCTTAGGTTCATGCGCGAGAAACATAGGACATAGAAATGCGTATGGAACTTTCATATTTCGTTGTTTCACTTATGATCAAGCTATCCATTGCTCCATTGCTATATTCTTCACTCATGCTAAGTGCCAACACATAAAGTCACAATACATACATACATCTATATATATATAGAATTTTCGCTCACTTAACGTCTTGTTGAAAAGGTAAAGAACATTCGTTTTTGTGCTTGTTTCGAATGTGTCGCGAGTAAAGAATACCCGTACTTAACATTGCAAAGAAGGTGGTGCAGCGAAATGGTTAGTGGGAATTCGAGGTGAAATCCTAAATACAAACCCGCAAATTGATGAATTATTGGTTTTGCAGAGTAGGAAAGAAAACGAGAACCCATTTGATGGTCGCCACAACCCTGGAAGTCATGTCAGTAAGTCCTTCGAAGTCTTATGCAAGTTAATGGATTATAAACGAATTCAACATTGATAACTAAAATTGGTATCGCAAATTAATTTAGTTTATGACATTGTAGAAAAGGTAAATTTAGTTTCTCACTTTTGGCAGTAGTCAATCAATTTGATCCCTCATAACAGTTAATACAGAACCCAAAACCAAAACATTAACTTAACAAAATTTACAGAAGAACTTTAAACTAATTGAAAAAGACCTCCGAAATTTTGGTCATACAAAAAGTTGATAACAGAAATATCTTGAATTATTCTTGATTTTTGGGTTTTCTAATCATACTCTTAACCATATGAAAAAGGGGTTAAGAAACGTTATCAATCTTAATTAACACAAGATTTTATACAAACAGCGCTGGTATTTGTTTTGTTTTACTAGGATGCCTTAAACCGTTTTTGTTTTTTGTGTCTTCTTCTCCTGAGCAAATGAAAATTTTCTTCTCTCTCATTTTAACATTCAAAAAGGGGTAGAGTAAATAATGGTTATTTGTTTGTTTACAAGATATTTTGCTTAACACTCGTAAACATAGGCTAGTTACCAAGTTTGATTGTTTGAAACTAGAAAATCTATAAATATAACAATTATAGAAATTTCTACTCTGTACCGATGCAGTACGAATTCAAGGTGGTTCTTCAAAAGCGTATCCCTTCATGTTACTCCACATGGAATATTGAACAGAAACGAAATGGAAACAATATAGGACTTTGAGATTTCATATTTACCCAACGAGTGGTAAAAAATGATATATTGCCTCTCTGATAGACCATTCAATCAGTGAAAGAAAAAGTTAATTCAGTTTTTGAGATGGTAGATTCGCAAAAGACCGAAAAATAATATCTTCTGAAAAAAGGAAAAGCTTAACAAAGTTGAGATCTTAAGATATTAATTATTTCTTTTTAATTTTACATTTATAATATTTTCTAAACAAGTCTCTCGTAAGTCGTAAAACTTTTTTCCTCTTGCAAATGGAAAGCCTAGTTATGCAAAGGATTGTCCGGTCTCATTGAACTGTGCGTAACATTGCCGATGGACACATCTCCATGTAAATCAAAAGTGAAAACCTTTTATCCGAAATAAAAAAAAAAAAAAAGAAAGCCACGCTTCCAGTGTTGGTAACTAATCCGACTCAAATGTAGTCAACAAACAGATATAAATCAACAGTCAAATAAGCAGCAAACACATACCAACCTCAGGTTAGGAACAATGCTGATGCAGTGTCAAGACATTTCGTTACCATTATTATTACACTGCTGTATTCCTACTTAAGAAGAATAAAAAGATGATCACAGTACTCGCGGTGGTAATTAAACACTTCTACGGCACATCATATAACCAGCCCAACCAAAATCATGTTATGTTACCATTCTAAAAATACAAACCGATAAGCAAGTTCTCCATGTCCTTTCTTTTCTATTTTTTTCCCTCTCTGGTAATCTTGCCTACAGCTAAGCTTGACAAGGGTAACATACCCAATGATAAAAATCCATATAAAGCATCTTCCAAAGGGTACATAGAAAATCAGACATGAAAAATCACCTATGTCGAAGCTATTGGTCAATCCTGCTTTTGAAGAATTAACATACCAATTAACCATCAATCAAAAGAGCGACAACATCCCAGCAAAAAGAAAACCTCAAGCACTTCATATTTTTAGCACCAATTTGTACGCTCCTAACTAGAATTCTCTTATCCATTTGCACCCTGAATTTCAAACGGAAGAAATTAACAGAAAATTCAACTGAACTATAAAGGTTTATCAGAGCATGAAAATATAAATTATATTGCATATAATTCCAAATCTAATTATCAGAATTATTAGTTGAAGAAATTATAAAAAAGTGTCTCCATATAAAAGCATCCAATGGATTTGGTATTAACACAGGTAAATGGAATTTGCACAAATATAACTGCACGAAAATACCAAATTAGACATTTGTATGCATTTGCACACCATTTATACCTTCAACATACCCTTCATGAGACTCTCTTACACCTTTATACAACAATAATAACTAGTTATTTCACTTTCGCCGAATATAACTTTTATATTGACTTTTAAATTGGCACGGAAACTCGTTAAGAGCTGACATAGGAGAAGAGCACATGCTATTAGCCAAGTATTCACATACATGCAAGCAGTATCTTACGGGGAAGTTATTTATTTATTTGGAGGGGAGGCGCCTGCACCAGAAAGGCTTTCTGTCTTAAGTAATTCCATATGAAAAAAGTTGTCTTAAGTAGAGAAAAGATATATTCAAAATGTTATCTCGGGACAGTTAGGGAAGGATCCGAATCCTCTCCAATTTGTGGAGCAACAGGACGACTAGTTTCATATTTATTGAAGTGAATTTAAATATGCTTAAGCAAAAATCACTTTAATGACATTTTTTCTTACGCAATTTAATCCTCCCCCTCTCTCTCTCTCTCTATATATATATGCCCTGCATGCACTTTGCTAAATCTCTCTCAACTCTCAAGTTCAAGGAAACTCTAATGGGTTAGTTGGTAAGAAAGACTAAACACCCATTTTCCCAAGCAAATTTGTGCAGTGTTTGTCAGCAAAGCCACAAGGGGAAACAAAAACCATTTTCCACTTCATGTAATTGACAGCAATTACAGCCACCACAATGTTCACTATTTTGGATTTTTCTATAAAAGGCCTGAAACTTGTAGCATAAAATTCAGGAGAGCAAAACTGACTAAGTAAAAATAGAGTTTATTTCTTTGCTCTTGCTGGTCATCATCCAATAAATCCTAATCTTAAGAGTTTGATTTTTTGCTCACAAGCTGGAAGAGCTTTGTCCGGTGTATGCTTCTACTGGTTCTGCTATGGCTTCTCCCAGTTCATATTTAGCTAGTGCTTCTTCATTGGACCCAAAAAATGTGCTCTCTTCTGAAAATTTTTGCTTGAGCAAACGTGTAAAAGGCTTAAGCGAAAATGAAACTAGACATCTTGTTCCCATGCAAACTAGAGAGGATCCGAATCTATAAGGGACTCAAATACCTACCTAGTATGATGCCACCCCACCAAAAGAACTAAAATAAGATTGCATTGATACAAACAATGCAGTCATGGACATTGCATCACTCAATGTACAAATTCCCTTCAAATATAAGGAAGGAAGATATGCTTTTGAGCAACTATCTACATCAAACAGATGTAAAGAAAGAGAATGCTCTTACTGTTACCTACTGCACCTTCTTTTCTTTGTTTGAGAGTTTTGGAATCTTGCTTAAAACAATACTGTGAATCTTTTTATACTGTGTCTGAATAATCCCATGTACCACATACAGCTTGTCATCAATTTGGTCCTGGTACTTGTCATACAAAAGAGGAATAGACAAGCTCAGAAGAATACCTGTCAAGAAAATTATAGATACATTAAAAAAAGATGATGTTGAGAGAATTTCCCAGAAGATTGTCCAAACATGTAAAAGCTACAGAAGCACAGAACTTACCAATATAGATCAAAGTTAAAAAGTTGAGCAGACTACCAATATAAGATATTACCCACAATCCCCCAACAACCTGATTAACCAAGTTCAAATAAGGAAGTGTCAGCAAAAACTTATATAACCGATGTGCTTAAAATTCATCAAAATTAGCAAAATACCCCGTACAGCGCCGTACCTGGAGGCAAAGCAGCAAATTCCTCTCAATCGCTATGTCATGTGCAACAGACAAAGCTCGATTTATCCAAATCTGCAGTAAATCAGCAACCCTGGCAATAGTTTCCTCCGAGATCTCCAGATCGGGGAGAGGAGGAAGAGGTCTGTGCTATTAAACAAAGTAATTACAACTGAAGAAAGTATATTCACCACTAAACTAATAACATCTCTCTAAATTCTAGTACCACTTAGCATCCTCAGCGTTCTTTCAATTTTCATGTGCATAAACATTTAGAACAGTTAACAGAGCATCTATACGCAACATTTTTATTTCTCAAAACGACTTTATTTAATTCAGCAAGAACGGTTTAAATGCCAGAAATTAAGTATATGAATCTGGCGGAGATGATAATCTCGCAAATGAAAAATAATTTGGATGAAGTGAAATACCTATTGAGAAGGTTAGCAGCTTTGGCCCAGAAAAATAGAATGGCTACGAGAAGCAACACCACATTTGCAACAAAGGACAAGAAATTGTAACCGGCACGCTCGAACAGGTACCACAGCGCGGTAGCCGAAACCAGTACCGTAGCTGCTCCACGCCAGTTCTTCCACAACAACACATCGGCAACTACCACACATCAAATCAAATAAGAAACAATTAACTATGATTTTCTTCACTAACAGGTTACACCATCAAATTCAAGACCATTTCATTCATTCGCTAACTATCAGTAAACGATCCATGGCAGACTGAACGAAATCAGGGAGAGAGAGATAACCTAAGCCAGCGCCGAGAGCGTGATGGACGGAAATCCGTTTAGATTCTCCCATGGCGATTGGGGAAGTTTTGCTTTAGGTGCAGCGTCGCAAGTAACAAACCAGATATTAGTATCAGTAACAGCGCGATTACGGTTATGGTGGCTCTTTCTATCGTTTTTGGTCATGTAATCCACTCACAAGATGAACGAGGAAAACGACATTCGTTCTGACATTCCCCAGTTCATGGGCTAGGCTGGGCCCTTAAGGGCCCAACAAACGTAACCGTTGTATTAAATCACGCAATAAATACTTTTAAATGTAACTCTTAGTCGCCGTCGCGGGCAGATTCAAGAGTACTTTGGCATATAATAAATGAAATACAGTTATATCCATTGGTATTTAAATAAACGGTTGAGATTTTAACAATTTTATGTTATTATACACGAGTTTAAATTGCACCTTTAGATATTAAATTTTTAATTAGTAGTTAGATCTATTTTATCTTTTAAATCGCACTCTCTTATTACAGAAGAATCAAATTCTTACTCACCTTAAATATCAAATAAATATAATAAACAAAATAATTATAAAGGAATATCAACATAAGTTGATTTAAATGATAAAATATTGTTTAAATAATATTTTAAATTTAAATTTTTATGTATATAGATATATTCATCCACCACTATGTGACTCAAGTCAAATCCAGATTAAATAAAATAAAATAAAATAAATACTACATATGTAAATTTTACATATTTTTGTTAAATTTACTTAAACAAAATGAAACTATATGTTACCGGTATGTAAAATTTACTTAAACAAAATGAAACTATATGTCACCGGGATAAGGATCCAATCTTTCTGATTACATTAGGACATAATGGGCATAGAGATTCGGGACAAAGGAGACGCTAGTTTGAACCAAAAACCAAGAGTCGCCTGGTTCTGCACGTTGGCAGGGAAGGTTGACTTAGATTGTGAAATCTGTTAAAAAAAAGTTTTTAGTATAATTGATTTGAAAAAATAAATTAAAATACAATTTTTTTTAAAATAAGCTTAAAAGAATTAAATTATCTAAGTGATGAATAAAACTTACTCTTAAAGGGTAAATATAAATATAGTTCATAGATTCTACACTAAAAATAATTTTTGGCGATAAAAAAGTTAAATACTTACATTTCTCATAAAATAATTCCCCTCATTGCAAAGTTAATTTAATAAAATGTTAAACATACACTGATACCATCAGAATGAAATTAATCCAACCAGGCAATAAGTTGATCTGTACTATATTTCTTTTGTGATGTTTAGCATATGATTATATGCTACATCACTCCACAGTGGCAAGCTGGATCCTTTTAAATAAAAAGCTTCTAAGATCTGTTCTCTAACCCATCAAATATTTTGCCTGAAACAATATAAATCATACCCTTCGAACAGTCACAACTCACACGTGATACAACATGGAAATGCTGAGTCATGACTGTCTTTTATCTAAAGCCAGATTTGCCCACCAACCTTGAACCAAATTTTAAGAGTTTGGGCACAACAAAAGCTTGTTTCAAGGTTCTGCCTCCTCATCGTTATCAGAGTCTCCATCACCAGAAGAATCTTCTTTCTCTTGCTGCTGTTCTCCAGAATTTAATTTGAACTTTTTCTCCTTTTTCCTTTGCTTCTTCTTTTGACGTTTTGCTCGCTTCTTTGCTGTCCGTTCCTCGGCCGCTTTTATTCTTTCCTCCCTTCTCATGTTAAATTCTGCCACCTCTTTCCGTTTTTGATAGTCGACTTCCATCCTAGCAAGACGATCTTGCTCCTTTCGTCTCATCTGCCGATACTGGTGGAAAAGAATTTGAAGCATACAAGAAAATCACTTAGAAAATTACTCATCACCTCACCATTTACCAACTATTGATTAATAAATTAAAAAAAAAGTGAACAGCACAAATACTGAGCTGAATTGATAAACTTAACAAACACTTATAAGAGAAGAAAATAAAATGAACCAATGAGATAAAAACCATCAATTAAAATCAATTTCCATAACTCAACTTTTTCAAGAACTTTCTCGTATAACTTTTCCATGAGCACCCATTAAGCACACATTAAGTTAAAAGAACTTGGCACTCTAGTCTTAAGTTTTGTAATTGGAAAGCTCCCATTAGCAAGAAGCTAATCCAAATTGGGCCATCAAGTATCAGGTAAACACTAAATGGATGGGTAAGCACTTCAGTGTGCATGTTTAGGTTCAATGACAAGAATGTAATTCAGGACAGAAAATCTCAAGTGCAAGAATGGGAGCTTTAACATTGATGAGATTCAATGACAGGGCTGCTCATAAACATATAAAGCGAGCATATTTGACGCCCTTAATCATCCACAGCTCTGAAAAGATTGCGCATATGACTGTTTCCTTCAGAATCAAATTATGAGTCACAGCTGGGAAATCAATAATTCATCGATGTCACTGCCAGCCCATTGATCCAACTTCTACAAGTAGTATCTATTGCGTTTTAACAGATGTGTTACCCTGAATCCCTAATAATAATAATAATAATAATTTTTTTTTTTTTCCTTCTTAATAACAACTAACTAACAGTAATAACCAATCCCATTATCAAACCTGCATCTATTTTAGGAACTAACTCGAGCTCAAGATAAATTTTTAATTGTTTATTTTTTAAAATTACAATAGAGAAAAGAGAAGTTTTACCTGATGGAAGTCACCGGAACCTGAACCCGCAGAACTACCGGAAGTGTTGCTGACACGAACGGGCACATTGTCTATAATCCGCCGGAGCTTGACTTCCAGGTCCTCCTCTTCCTCCTTGAAAACAACCGGAGTATATTCCACTATCGCATTCGATGATGGTGCTGCCGGTGGTAGGGGTGGCTTCGACTTTCCCGGCGCTGCAACCACCTGAAGGTCACGGTCTCTGTGTTTGCCCGCCGACATTTTGGGGATTCACCAAAACCCTAATTTTTCACTTCAGACCCAAACCCCCAATTTCGCAAACGAGGACAGGGTTGGGTTTTTCTGACACACTAGTTAAAAACACTTACTCTTCAGACCTTCAAATTGCACGGGACTGCGGCAATAGCACAATGCACATTTGACTCGATTTCTCTCCGAATCACGAAATCCCAACGCCTGCTTCTTTGAATTAGAGGCATTCTGTGCAGTTCCAATATTTTAAAAACATATATATTATCTTTAAAAAGTCTGTTATATTATTAATATTTTTAAGTTAATTTTTAAATTATCTAAATACTTGCTTTCAATGTAAAAAATAAAAAAATAAAAAAATTCTTCAAATCCAATTATATACAAAAGAAAATAGTTAAAATGTTTTAATTATTCTAACATTAAGCTTTAGACACCCTGCAGTAGTGCAGTGGGAACTTTCCAAAAAATCACGTAATTAGCATAAGCTAAAATTTGAATAACCAACGAGTTTGGAGTATCTACGTTTTGACTAAAGATAAATGAGTTTATTTTTTTTTTAAACAAAGTTTTTAAATTAATAACAAAGATGATATGGCAACGATGATTAAGTATACTACTCGATATTTTTTTCATATACAAACACTCAAATTAAAATTTTATTTAAACAATACTAAATTATTTATCACTTAAATTAATTTTTATTAATATTAAATTTAACATCGTATATTATTACATTATACTATATGTAATAAATATAAAAATAAATTCACTTTAAAAGTAAGTTTTGTTATTTCTTAAAAAAATTATAAATATAAAACTGTATTAATTTTACTCTTAACTCGTGTAATAATATATTTATAATCATGGATGGTAAGTTTTATATAAATTAAATATTTATAAATATATATTTTTAAAGTGAACATTTGTTTTTTTTAAATATATTATGTACTAAAAAATGTTTGATAAATTATAAAAAAATATAAATTCAATTAATTTGTTTGGAATTATTAAACTTGTTAAATAAATAAAATTCAATCTTTATCAAAAAATTATTAAATAACATAAGTTTGCCAAAATTTATTTAAAGTATTTTAAAAAAATGTTTGCAACAATGTTTATACGTTATTAATTCATAAATTATATATGAATTTTTATTAATAAACCGTGGATAAAAAGTATACTTATAAATATCTAAGTACACATCAAATATGAAAATCGGAAACAAATTTGTTACTTAATGGGTTGGAAATAAATATGAAATTTTTTTTTAATTCTTAATTATTGTCCTAAACTTAGGTAGTAAAAATTTCAGAAGAAATAAATAAATTGACATAATAAAGTTCGATAGATAAACCCTAGTTACATTTTATTATGTATTTTTAGCGTTTCTTATCGATAGAAATAAAAGTTATACTTCAACAATTTTTTTAACGTAGTCATAAATTATTAAAATAAGATTTCAATTAACAAAAAGTATTAAAAACACATAAAAGTTGTCCTAAACCTCGTATAATAACAAAAAGCATTCATTTTTAATATAGAAATTAAGCAAATAAATGTTAATGATTGTAATGGAAAACTATTTATCATACCAAAAATACAAAATTATGATAAACATTATAATTTTTAATGAATAATTATTTTTAAATCCGTAAAATTAAAAAAAAAAACTGATTAAAAAAAAGTTGTAATGTTTCACCACCAGACGTTTATGATTTTTTTTGGGTCGTGATTTGATTTACGAATTTGTTAAGGCCTCTTTGCCCAGTAAATTAGACAGCGTGGGTCAGAAGGTGATTTGAGTCGAACTGGCCCAGGTTGTTTGGTGTAGAGTCGTTTTACTTTTCAGTCCTTCGCCATCTCGCATCTCAGAGTCTGAAGCAGCTACCGGAGAGAGAGAGAGAGAGAGAGAGAGAGAGAGAGAGAGATCACAGTAAGAAAAAGGAAAAACAGAATCAATCGTGGATCGTTTGCAGAGGTAAAGGAATCGAGAAGAGAAGGAGTGACCGAAGATGTTACCCACAGCTTCCAAAGGACGTTCTTCTTCCTCCTCCTCCTCTCGACCTAATAACCCCATGTTGCTTCCCTACCTCCGCAGAATCATCAAGGTTCCGATCTCGTCTCTTTTCCACCTTCTTTTAATTCCCTAATCTCGTAGATTTACTTTCCACTCCTCTCTAGGATCTGATTCGTACTTTTATAACCTTCCAGTCTCATTTTGTATATGTCTTTGCTAAATTGTAAACCAATTTGCTAGATTAGGTTCAATTCCTGAACGTTTCAGTTGTTTCGGTTGAAAATTTTATGGATTGGACTGTATAGTTCTGATTTGGAGAGTTGTTACTCGTGAGTGTTCAATGAAGTTTTTTCTATTTTATGTGGTGGATGATGTGCTCTCTCTCTAATAAGGAAAACCATTGCTAATTTGTTTCAGTTTTACTTGTCAAAATTTCCGACATAATTCATTTGTTTTTTCCTTTTAATGTGGATATACTTTTCATTGTTCATTGTAGTGGCAACAAATGGATATTGAATATACTTTTTGGCAAATGTTTCATCTATGTACGTCACCGAAAGTTGTGTAAGTATATATATATATGTATATATCTTCTTCTGTTCTTCCCCTGTTAACAATGAAAATCACTTATCGGTATCATGGTCTGATGCAACAACAATATGATGCCACTATTATTGGAGAAATTACACCATTGCACACACGGGCATACTCGACGGTTCTTGGTTGAGTTTATGCTTACTCCTTCTGTCTTGAGTGCATTTGGAATTTTGTATTATATGTTTTTCTGATATATTTTTTTTTTGGGTGCTCTTGTAATGGAACTCTACAATGGATGCAGCTATCAGCATACTAAATATCACAAACGTAAGTCTACATCTCACGAATATCTTTACTTTTTGGATTGATTGGTACATAGTTTTGAACATTGATTGGTCCAGCAATGTTTATTGAGCTTCTGTTTACTTAGGTTATGTTTCTTAGCTAGTCTTTATCTGCGATTGTTTATTGTACATTAGACTAGATACATGTGTATGACATGCTTTAGGGACAATAATAGTTGAAAAACTTGACTTGTGGACCTGATACGAAAATAATATTTACCATAGTGATGAGGAAGAGTACCAGTTTGTAACGGGAAAATAGAATAGAATAAAACTTAACAGTGGAAAATAGAACACAAGCAACAGAATAGTGCTCAAGTGCTTATCATCTTAGGATAACAAGCATAATAGAATGGTGGGATGGTGCTATTGATTATATCTGAAAAAAATTGACAGAACACATAGAGAATGTGCATTCTGGATTGAGAGAAAAAAATAGAATGGATGATAGGGATTAATGAACACTAGGAATAATAATACTAAAACACCTGAAATTGTATTAAAACTCGTGGATCTGAATCAAACAACTTTAGAATCAGAAACAAATGGAAAGTATTATCAAATAAAGAGACTATATAATATGCAGCACTTAATGAACACCCCAGATCTGCAACTAGCAATCCTTTTCTGAGGCAGAAGTCTTTGCCTCTCTCTAATTGTGCTAGAATCCTCCTTTCCAACCAAAGGTTGTTGCCTGTCCATTCTGTTTTTATACCAATCATGCTTTCCCTTAATTGAATCCTTACCATTTCCCATGTCCCCTTCTTGTTGTCCCCACTCCTTCCTTCCTCCCTCCCTTATTCCTTGTATAGATTCAGGTCACTTGTGGTCTATCAATGGATTTCAAAGCACAAGGAGAGTAAATTGTATGACTTAGTCTGGTAAAGAGGGGTTGAGAGAGACCCAAAAGAACATTAGACAAAGTTATTAAAAGAGGCCTTGTGATTAATTAGATTTCTGAAAATTTGATTTTTGACCGAACTCAATGATGTCAAATGATCCATGTAATCAACCTCATCTAGCGAGATAAGGCTTGATTGTTGTTGTTTTTGTAGTAGTATGTGAGAAGCTCTTTTTGACTGAGCTTAGTAACATCATGTGATTCGTGTAATCGACTTCACTGAATCGGATATGACTTGGTTGCTGTTGTTTGTAGTAAACAAATTGCTAGGTGGTTGATGATTTTCAATATTTCATAAACAGTTTGCTAGGTTCATGAATGAATAGCAGAAAATGCTTTCATAGTGTGGCTTACTAGGTCATGAGGGTAAGGGTTTGCTCATGGGATGAGAGCCTGCATTTTTTGTTTTCCTTGGTGTGAAAACAGTACTTTGAAAGGAGGAGTCCCAGCTCTCAATAGTCAGTTGTTTTGGGCAATTTGGTGGCAAAGTTTGCATCTTACGTCAGACTTGCTGACTCATTACTTGACTTGTGATTCTATGTAAATTTCTGTGACTCTAAAAGAGTCCAGTTGGGTCTACCAAGAACAATGTTATCAATAGCGGATGGCGGGTCATGGCAGAAAGCAAAAAAAACTGCCATAAAATTATGGCAGATGCCATGGCGGAATAATGGCGGTCATATATATATATATATATATATATTGCAAAATGTGATATAAAACTAGAAAACTAACTACATATAAAAGAAGAAAGGTTTTGAGAAAAAAAGAATAAAATGGTTGTACAATAGTGGAAAAAAGCTGAAGTTATAACAGAAAAGTAGAGAATTGAAATAAATATGGAGAAGGAAACTTGGAAGTGAAAACAAAATAATAAGGAAAAACGAAAAAATGGGAGAGTAAAACAGAATGGGAGAGGGAAAAACAGAACTGAAAAAAAAATAGGAGAGGGAAAAACTAAAAAAGAGGGACAGAGCCCAGAGAAACAAAATAGAAAATGGACATTGGAAAATAGGGCCTTCCACTCACAATTGCCGGAAAACAGCCGGAAAGGATGCCTTCTCCAGCGAAATTGGTGAAGGAGATGAAGGAGAAGTTGGCTTTAGAGAAGAAGGAAGAAAAATAGTGCAGGTAGAACCCTAAATATTTTACCCTTCAGAAAATTTACCACTTGAGAAGAGAAGGTAAAAATTTTAAGTGGAAAAAGTCTATTTTGCCCTTAAAAAACCCTAAAATACATCAAGCAAGGGCAAGATTGGAATTTCGCTCTCTTTCTCCATTACACTTCAAAAGTGCACACCCACAGTAAGACACTATAATTAGAGCTTAACCTCTGCAAAGAAATACTTCACAGCAAGCATTACGTGGCGGACTGCCGCTCCACAGCGGCTCAATAGCCCACTGCCACTCCACAGTGGCACAACAGCGATGAAGAAAGGAAGAAAATATGAGATTTAGGGTTTGGGCTCACAGATTTTCTTTTTGGAGCAGGTCTAGTCAATGGCCCAACTCAATTTTTCTCGCAAAAATGCCATTTTTCTACATTTTTCGCCATGGTCGCCGTTATCGCCATGCACGTAACAGCTGCCATTGAAAAACGCTAGAAAACTGTAATGCTGTTACAGTGGGGTCAAAAACCGCCACCAAATTCTGCCATGGCCGCCATTTAACAACACTGACCAGGAAACAAGTTTGAAATTGAGTCTACTTGATTCCCATACATTGAGGGGTAAACTTGTACTGTCCTACAAGCTGACTCACGAGTTTAATGACCTTGTCTAATAAATGATACTGATGATGTCAATTATTGATCTTATGCCAAAATTCCTTTTATCTTTTTTGACTGATTTTGCTTACATGGGCTGGCAATATTTCTGCTCATACAAAAGAGGCTTTGAGCATGTTTGTTCATTAACTGATATGGGTCTTGTCAAACTATTCATTCCCTTTATTCATATCTTTGTGTTAAATTGTATGAATGCATTTATGCATATTATAAGTTCACATTACCTATCAAGATTGCCAGGCACAACCAATGATGGGATAAAATTTAATAATTTCTCAGTTCACCTTTCTTACAAGTAAAGGTGCCTCTTTAAACATGGCAATTAAATTTTTTTCATAGTGAGCTGCTTTTGAAGATGAGCCATGAAGAACTCTGGCTTATTAGGCTTGCAAATCAACTTAATTTGGTGATACATAATGATGCAAAAGTTTCAGGGATACAAACTGTAGGTTTAATTATAATGCCTTTGATTTATCAAATGAGGAAATTTCATTTGGTGATTTCAATTTATTGTTTAATTGACTTCCTTCTTCTTGTCTGATATTAGAAACCAAGAATCAATGGGCACGTGATGACCCTGCATTTGTTGTGATCTGCAGTCTTCTTTTGGCAGTTGCAACTTTGGCATATTGTGCAGCGTAAGTTTCTCTTACATTGTGATGATGGTGTCTCCTTGTAGACGAGTAGCTAGTATTCACTTTACATGTGTAAAACAGAGTGAATATGCAACTAACCACTAACGTAAATCCTTCTATTTCATCTAATTAGCTGAAGCATGATCATTTTTGTAATTTCACCTCTTATACAAACAATCAGACTATTGCTGTATATTTTAGTATATAAGAATTGTTAAATTATCAATCATGAACCTAGTTTGATCGAATGATTAGTTAAATAGATTTAGTTTAGCTTTTTCCCCTTTCTTGTCCTTGCTAACTTTTTGTGGTGTTGTATTTTCCCATTCTTTTTCAGGTATGACCATAGTACTGCACATGCACTTCTTGTTGTCTTTTCCGTGTTGCTTTTCCACTTTTTATTGACTGGTGTATTTCTGGCAACTTTTTGTTGGTAAGGCTACTTCCCATAGGAAATATTACCATAATTTTCTCACTTGATCCTGATACCAAGGCTAGTGTATATTTTTTACCATGTAATCTTCAGGTTCCTGACTAATGCTTATCTTCGAGAAGAGGCTCCAAATAGTTATGTGGTTGAACAGCGTGTTGAATGGTAAGTTGAAGAATTTTCTTGCCTAGTCCACTTTTTTGTGTTAATTTAGTAGTTTACTTCTTCAATTTTAAAACCATGATCACCCTTGCATTATAATTTTATTGATTTTTTTCCAATAACTGATTTTATTTTTTTTTTTTATTTTTGGGTTTCCATGGAAGGATGTATGCATTTGATGTGCACTGCAACTCTTTCTTCCCAATGTTTGTTTTGCTATATGGTAATTTCTGACTCCTCGGTTAGTATATATTTCAATATGATATAGGTAGCTACAATATCTTGCATTAGAGTGGTACTGATGGCTGGTCCTTTGGCAGTGATCCATTATTTTCTATCTCCTCTGTTGGTGGCTCATGGTTTCATTCCAGTATTATTGTCAAATCTTTTGTTCATGGTGGGAGCTTCATACTATCATTATCTAAATTTCTTAGGTTATGATGGTAAATCTCTATCTCTCTCTCTCTGTTTATAGCTTATTGATTATTATACAAGAAATTTCATCTAGATCAGTTCATAGTATTTTGCTAATGTAGTTTCCTTGGGCGTGGCTGTATTTATCTGGAAAAGTGCTTTATGGCTATAGAGACTGGGGACTTAGACCTTCATTAATCGGTTCATTTGGAGCAGAGCCGTTTTAATTGTTGCTGATTATACTGTAGAAGTGTCAGTTATTGTGCTTTCTTGCATATTTGCATCAAGCACCCGTTCTGTCTCTTTAACTCTAAAATTCCTTTCGTATGAAGTGGGGATATTCATAATTAGGTCTGCCACTTTTGATGGTCAACATTGTGAATAAATTTGCATTAAAATGTTTTTGGCAAACCCGTTTCCTGACTATATAACTCTGAAATTACAAATATTTCTTTTGAATTGGTGTGAACTGTGAATAACATTGAATTAATTAATTGACATTCCTGGCTGTAGTTCTGCCCTTTTTGGAGAGAACAACCTTCTTCCTGTATCCAATTGGCATCGTAATTGTGCTTTCTCCCATTTGTAAGTATTGAATGTGCCTGCCATATCTGTTTTTCATGATGTGTTAAAATTGCATCTGAAGCCAATTTCTGATTTGCAGTGATTTTGAGTGGCTTCAATCCTTCTAGATACTTTATGAACATATACTTCAGCCATCATATATGAGCTTTCCAGCTAAAACTTTTGACCTATCAACGTCCGTGAGGTTATAGAGTATTGAGAGACCACAACATGAGAAGGCTTTAATGAATGTTTGTTTGTTTGTTTGAAGAATGCAATGGCCCAGCAACGGTTCCTTTTAGGCCTTCTACTACTACTACTACTACCGATCGAAGTTTGACTGTAGCAAGCCAGGGTAGTCAATGTATTTTTTACAACTATTAAATAGAATATTTGGTCAAATCAATATACTCATTGTAATGAATTTTCTTTGTCAATCTGATAGCTTTCTTCCCGACAAAGAACAATTTCTATTGAATATATTCTTTCATGAGGCTCGATATGCTCTCCGATTGAATGGTTGTTTCCTCTAGTCCCCATCACTTATGGAATCATTGTTAGCTATTTTGAGTATTCATTAAAAGCCAGTTACTGGTAAGAGGCCGCTTGGAGCTAATCAAAGCCTTGGGTGGGGGCTTTCTGTATGAATGACAAGTGCTCGCTGTGCATTGAAACCCAGTTTAAAAAAAACAAAAACAAAAGGAATACATGGATATCAAGGACAATGACGAAACTAGACTCTAAGCTAAAGTTAGGGGTGCCCCTGTTAACCAAGTTTTGATTCTCATTTTACATTTAGTCTCTCTAATTTGAATTCAAATTCAATTTTTCATCTTAAATTTAAACTTTTTATTATATTTTATATTTTTCATTATTTATTTATACAAATCAATAAAATGTCACACTTCCTTTACATTTTACATTAATTATTAAATAAAATTTTAAGGTGAAGGATTCAATTTGAGCATTTTAAAAATTAAAAAATTCAAATATGAATAATTAAAATAAAAAAATAAAATTGTAAATACATTAAAAAATAAAGACAAAAAGTGCAAGTAAACCTAATAAATATTATTATTTTTAGCAAAAAAATACAATTTTTATACGTGCACAATTAATTCTAACAATTGAAGTTGATAAAATTGTTTTTTTTATTTGTATTATTGTATTAAATAAAAATAAAAAAACCTGTAAATGCTTCGCCAGATATGGTAAGTCAAGTCGACTTCATTATCAACTTCAAGTCTGTTTCTGTTATTAGCTTAGCAAATCCACAATTATAGGAAATTCATTGACGAAAAACTAATCATATTTCCTAGGCCTTTTCGTTAGGTTGTCTTTTAGGTAGTAGGTTAGTAGGTAGAACTAACAAAATGGTTGCGAAGTGCAATAAAAAATTAGGATAGAAAATGAGAGGTTGAGATGATCTTAACCATTTCACATCATTCAGATTGGGTTAAAAAAAAAAAACAATCCATAATGCTCCTTTAACACATCCTTGGCCTGCGTCATCTTATAATGTCCCTTGCATATTTCAAGTCGTTAACGTACTCAATTTAGGTCTAAGGCAGAGTGAGACCACCATAATTTGTAGGATACGTTTGATGCACACAAAACAAAACACAGAGAGAAGCATTGACTAAGCAAGAATGAAGTCATACATATATTTAGTTTTCAAAATAATTTTTTTATTTTGTTTAATAATTTTATAAATACCAAATTTTGTCAATTTAATTGTTAATTTAAATTTTATTTTAAATAAATAAAGTAATTTTGCGAGAGATCGTTGAGTGGATATAATTAATATTTTTAATATAATTATTATATAAAATAGTTATTTTTAGGTTAAAATCATTAATATATATATATATATATATATATATATATATATATTTATAACTTTTAAACACAAGTGGAATATCTTCGGTTTAACATATTATATACTAAAAAAAATACGCTGAATCGTTATTGCAAGTGTGAAGACTGCTCCTTCGCATTCTTTTCGGGTCAAATGCTCTTTCCCATGTCTAAACATGCAATAAACGAGACCGGCCACGAAAAAACGTAGAATAAGTTTGAAGCAATGTATATTTTTATTTTGAAGCAAAATAAAATTACTAATTGACAACTGAACCCGATCAGAGATAGACTAAGGAGGAACAAAGTCTACAATTAAGATAGGTTTTAACAATATATATCTATAATTGGTTGATACTAACTGTAAAATATAAACATTTATATTATTTAATAACTTTTTTTTTATATAATGTGATATTATTAAATTCAATGTTAAATCATCCCATGTTACATATATAACTATGATAATTTTATGCATATAATAAGTCATATAATACTTCTGAAAATAGGTGTCCATGATTTTGTGTTATACCTTTTTAGATCATATTCTTATCTTCTTCTTCTTTTTTATCCTTATTTGAATTTATATGGTCTTGACATTTATAGTCTGGTCTTTGTATTAGTTCTTTTTATATTTTTGGACTTTTAGTTTCATTTGTTATAAAAAAAATGATTTATATCAAACAAATGAGTTAAATTAAAATAATCTCATTTAACTTATTTTTATCTTTAAATAAATGACAACTGGATAAGATTTGAATGTGAAAAGTAATGTAATGAAAAGAATGTATAAAACGTTATTTATTCATTAAAAAAAGAAGGCGTAAATGGTTGACTAAATTAATCCACCACTGTTAAATTAATTTCTTCGATTGTAAGTACGAGCACGGTTAATATATTTTTAACATTTTTATATGATTTATAAATTTCAGGTTTAGTTAAATAACAGTGGTAATTGTACACACAATAAATAGATTTATTTGAAGTAGGAAGAGAAAGATATATAAAAAAGGGAATATAACGAACAAAATGAATGATACAATAAAAAAAGGGTAAAATAAGTATAAAAATCAAAACATGGTAAAAATAAAACTGTTAGTCAAAGCTTATAGGTAAAATATTTGTGCAGGGATCAAGAGTTTTCCAAATTATTTTTAGGTGATAAGTATAATTAAAATTTGAATTTGTACTTCTGTTATCATGATAACGAAGAAGACTTATCTAAATCATTTTATGAAATAATTAACTTCATTCTAAACAGACTAGTAATATTAAAATATTGCAATAAAATTTATTTTGACATCTTATTTATTTGTTTTAAAAATTATTAATCTACTTAAAATATAATAATGTATCTTATAACACAATTTAGAGAATAACCGATGAAGAGTGCTAAACTAAAATGATATTTAGTACAGCTGATTAGTATAATTAAAATTTGAGAACAAACAAGTCACACCATTAATTCACAACGACAACAGAAGACAGCTTGCGGTCATCTGAAAACAAGGGAGTTTGTATAAATTATCTCCTAAAATAAATAATCACATCTTATTAATAAAGTTAAAATATTACATTGTTTTTTATAAATAAAATACTATTAATCTATTTGGTATAAAATTATTTACCTTATAAATAAATTTAGACAAACGCAAGCCAATAATGCGAACCTAAAATGGTTGTTGGTATACGTGTGTGGCTGAGAACTGTGTCCAAGAGTGTCAATTTCAAAGATTAGGTAAAGACAGAATAATCAAAATCAATTCAGCAGGATCACCCACAAAACACTCCTCTCAACAAAGTTGGTAATCCACCATACGCTCGATATCCACTTCTTTTGTATTTTAATTATAAAAAATGGTACAACAAATTCAAGATTATAAGGGTCAATCAAGAAGTTTGGTATGTTTTGCTTTTCATGAGAAACTGATAAACATATGATTGATAAAGTGAGTGAAACCAAAACAGAGAAGACAGAGCACTCCTTAACATACAGACGCAACTTGGTTCAATTAATTGAGGGTGGCACATGTCGTACTTGTATACTTTTACTCATCAAGTTTGCTGCCTTTAACATCCACAACAAACCTATATCTCACATCGTTCTTCTCCAACCTTTCAAAGGCTTTGTTAATATAATCCATCTTTACAACCTCAATCATCGAACTCAGACCCTTCTCTTTCCAGAACTCCAGCATCTCCTCTGTCTCCTTCATGCTCCCAATGAAGCTTCCTGTGATTGCCTTCCTCCCTACATAACCCCAATACATATCATTGAAATTGGAAGGTTAAAAAAATATTATTAACAGAAGACATGTATGATGTAAGTATTGGGAATAATACATCAAGTTAGTTCATAAAATTCAAAAATATTATTTTATATTTCTCAATTTCTAAAATCATCACAACAATTATCCTAACCCTAAAATTACAAGACTAAAAAAAATGAAGTGATGTATACTCAATAATTTGAGGTATCAACAAGACATTAGTTCAAGTATCAGATAAAAGAAAGGGGAAAGCAAAAAAGCCTTGAACTTCAAAAAGATGGTATAAAATTCATTCATGTGTGTGGCTTACCAAGCATGACCATGGGACTAACGAATTGAAGAGGGGTGTTGATGACCCCCATCAAGATTAACTTCCCATCAAGTTTGAGAAGGGAGAGATAAGGCTCAAGAGGGTGACCAACAGGCACAGTGTCGATGATATAGTCAAGTGAATCAGCAGCTTCTTGCATGGCAGTGGCATCAGAGCTGACAAGATATTGGTCAGCTCCAAGGTGTTCAAGTGCCTCCTGTTTCTTCTTATCAGAAGAGCTTATCACAGTGACATGATGGCCCAATGCTTTTGCAATCTTAACCCCCATGTGTCCCACTCCTCCAAGGCCCAATATTCCTCCTCTCAACCCACTCTCTTTCAGCCCAAAGTGTGACAGGGGACTGTACACAGTCACGCCCGCACACAACAAAGGTGCAGCTTGCTCTGGCTCAAATCCCTCTGGTATTTTCACAACAAACCTGGTTACAGCCAAATCAAACACATTAATAAATCAAATTAAAAAAAAATAATCGAGTTAATTAATTGATTAATCAATTACTTCTGCTCAACAACAGTGGTTTCAGCAAAGCCACCCTGCGTGGGCTTTCCATCGGTGTAAACATCATTATAAGACCATATTTTCTTGTTGCAGTATTGCTCAATATCTGATTCACATGCACTGCAGCTTTTGCAACAACCAACGAGGAGTCCAACTCCTACCAATTCTCCCACTCTGAACCTGGTAACGTTGGAACCCACCTCCAGCACCTCGCCAACCACTTCGTGTCTGTTTTTTTAATCATTGTTAATTAATCATCATTCGCAACAACAAAAAAAACCACAACAACTAACGAATAACTGTTAATAAATGAGCGTACCCGGGGACCATAGGATAATTGGACATGCCAAGATCGTTTTTAATTTGGTGGAGATCAGAATGGCAAATTCCACAGTAGTGAACTTTTATGTAAACATCATCAGGGCCTGTGTTTCTGCATTATTTTGTATGATTGTTAAACACGTGATAATTGGCAAGCAGGGACAGAACCATACAGAGGAAAATACGAAAAAAGAAGATGAGGTTACCTGAGAGTGAAGGTGTATGGGGAGAGAATCCCTGAAGGGTCTCTTGCGGCCCATCCAACTGTAGTTCTCTCGGATTCGATGCTACCCATGTTTCCTGAGAAATGGAATTTGAGAAAAGAAACAGAGAATAAAAGTTAGTGTGAGTGGGCTTTGTTGGTGAGTTGATTTGGGAAGAAGCGTATATATAAAGGGGATATAGCATGCGATGTGGGCCCTTCAAGCGCGGTAGCGGTAGGTGAATGGGGGGGGGGGGTTTATCGGATACGGTTATCCTGTACTCTCTCTCCTACACCTTCTCTCTCTACCTTACATTCATCGTTCATCGAAAGGTCACAATCCTCTGCTTTCCTTCTACGTCCTCCTTTTTTTAATCCTTACGCATTCATCATCTCCTCCCCATTGATCTTATTATAAAAAATTATTATTCTTCAATGCCTATTTAATGTAAGGTGTGAATGAAGATATTTGGTTTGATTTCAAGATTGCTTCGTTTTATTTATAATTTAATTAAAATATACTAATACAATATTTTTTATATTATCGTTTAATTATAAATTATTATATTTAACAATAGTTATTAATTTATATAATACTTAATTTAAAAATTATAGTTAAAATATGTTTTAATTATTTGATAATATAATTTTTTATTTATTATGTAAACCGTTCATCTAAGGAGATATCATGTCTGGTGACTTCTTTTCTAATTTATTAGGAAAACCATTTTTTGTCCAGTTTATGACAAAGGAGGAGTTTGCTTTATTTAAAATTTAATTGAAATGCATTACACTGTAGTTTGATTATTGATTATCATATTAATAAAAACATTTATTTTTGAAATAATTAATTTAAAAATTATATTTACCATTCATTCTAATTGAATGACAACATAAAACTTTTATACCGATAACATACTATAATTAATTTCTTAAAAGAATTATCAACTTTTTATTTAAGCTAAATTATAATTATATAAAATAAAACAATCATGATTTGGTCTAAAAAACAAAGAAGGCATAAAATTAATTATATTAAACATTTATAACAATTATCGAGGGAATTTTTTTATCATGTTCTAATATTAATTAATGTATTTATTAATTATAGATTTAAAGCTTACGAGTAACAACAGGTTACATATTAAGAACGGCCCAGAAGATTTGAAAAAGAATACATAGAGACAATAAATGACGAACAGTAACAGTAAACTATTGTATTAAAAAAACTATATTAGCATCTAGTTATAATTTGATACATAATTAAATACTGTTGAATTTTTAAATAATTACTTTAAAAAAACATATTCAAGGTGAATTTTAATTAGCTGTTAATAGAGGAACGTTTTAAAACTTTTCTAAATACACAGTGAATAAGAAGTTGAGAAATACTTTTTTTAATTACAGTTTATTGAATGATTGAACTTTATAATCTTTATTTTGAGAAGTTCAGATTGCTTTCAAATCAGGCTTTGTTCATCAAGATGGTATCAGAATTGGGGAAGTTCCATCGCTTTGCTCCACAGGAGAAGTGGACCATCTAGGATTATTATCACCATCAATTCTCATCCCATTTGTTTATTGTAATAGACGAGTAGCAGCATTGCATCATGCATACGTCAATTGTCAAATTGTCAACATGTTTAGAAGCTTTTGCTGACTGCCAAAGAAATTTGCACTATTTAATAATTCCTGTCGATCTTTGTGAGCAGGTGAAGTGAATTATTAAAAAAAAACGATTACAGTAGAAAACATTAAACAAAGACTTATTTTTAAATACATCAGAAATTTAAAGCAAAAGCAATAACGTCCTTCAACAACCTAATAAGTCTAAAATCAAAATATTCTGAATTGCTTCACCATCTTAAGTTTCAAGCAATTTAGTACCTCTAATGTATTCCACTCGCATATTAGCTGTTTAAAACCCATAGATAATTTTTAACACACATTAAATATTATAAGTTATAATAAAAAATTAGTATTTATTAAATTTTTATCATGTATTCATAAATATACATTAAAAAATAGTTATGCAATTTTATTACTAAATTAATGCTAATAAATTTTAAAATATAGAAGTTAGCCAATCACTGTCCCAACAACTAGAAAAGCCAGGAGAATATAAACTGTAATTTTTTTATTGTCATGCATAATTTCTAACCAATAATAACACAACACATATGTATATATTTTTTACAAAAATATACACGAGAGAAATCAATATTACATAATCATTGATGGACGGCTCCATCTAGTACCCCGTGACACTCTTTCTCCTTGTTAAAGGATATATCACCATACATAATCAAAATACATGTGCCATGTCATAAAGGCAATGTCCCACTTTTTTAACTATTAACGGATCTGAATTTTCTGTACTTTTAATTGAAACTGCGTTCTGAAGTATATTTTTGTTTAAATAAATTTTATTTTATTTAAATAAATTTAATAAAAAAATATTTTTAGTTTAAGTTAAAAAAATTTGTTTAAGCTATAATTGTAAAAATTTTAAAACTTGATCTTCTTCTTTTTTAAAATTTAGAAAATTTGATAAACTTTAATGTAATATCACGTGGTCACACTTTATGAATATATAACAAAAATTTAATTATTTTAAAATATGTAATATTACAACTATTTTTCAATCAATTTCACAAAGTCATCATTATTATAATTCTTATTATTATTTTTAATAATTTAATTTGATTCTAAATGATTCTACTTCACTAATATTTAGTACAAGTAACATACTAGATAATATATTTAGATATATTTATGTACGATGATCTAGTCACACTTTATAATCATAATATAAAAATTTAAATATTTTAAAACATGTAATAATGTAATTATTTCTCAATCAATTTTTTAAAGTTATCATTCCTATCATTCTCAACAATTTAACTTTATTTCAAATAGTTTTATCTGACTAATGTTTAGCACAAGTAACATACTAGACAATGCATTTAGAATATTTAGTGGAATAAAATATGTAAGAATATTTGATAATTAAGTAATCATTAGTAAAAAATAAAGATTTCTCAAATTTTTCTCAATTTTAACTTAATCAAATTTTTTGCCTTAAACAAAAATTATTTTTTAACTAAATTTGCCTAAATAAATTTTTTTAGCTTAAAATAAAATATTTTTGTTAAATTTACTTAAGTGAAATATAATTTGCTTAAACAAAAATACACTGCAAAATACAATTTCTATCAAAACTGTAGAAGATCTAGATCCTCTGAAAAAATATTATTTATTTGTCTTTGCCCCTTATTATAATATATGTATTGATGAGATACCTATTTGCTATCCATACTAATAAATATATTTATTTATTTAATATGTAAGTTATCAATTTAATTGTTCATTATTACTAGTTTTTTTATATGAATTTACAATTTATAATTTTCACGTATTTATGTTTTACTATAATAATATGTTTCGGTTCTTATACTAAATAATGTGAAATATAAAAAACAATCATGTAAACTTGTTTTAACTATATTTTTCTATTTTAAAAATTATATGAAATTATTAATTATATTTTAAGAATAAATAAATGTATTAAATTAAAATAATTTTTTAATTAATAAAAACATTTTAAATTTAATTTTATTAAATAATTTAAAATTAAATAAAATTTATTTATACTAATACTATTGTATTTTTTTATATTTACTTATATTTGAGACAAAAATAATTTTTTTTAATACATACTTAATTATGCATGATAAAAATTTATTATAAATTCATATGTAGAAATTTTTATTAAACGTTATAAATTTTAATATATTAATAATATAAATATTATTTATTTATTTATTATTATGCATTATTAATATATATTAAAATATAATTCATGAATCACAAAATTACATACAATCATCCCAATAACATTAAATGGTATTTTTTTTTTCTTTCGTTTCATTATTCAAATATTAAATAATTACTGTTCTTATATTCAATATTATATGTATGTATTTTTATTTATCTTTTCTATGCGTACTTAAGAAAATTATCCACTCCAAATCAAAGGAAATAAAATATATATATATCCACTTTACGTGAACGAAAATTATTTTCGTTTTTTAAAATTGTTGAGACAGAGAAAGCAAAACAGAACTTGGAGTCTGTGCAAGGGACAACACTGCAATGCTTTGGCGACTCATACTGTGATCGTGAAGGATTTCTGGTGCAGCCGTTGCTCCACAACGTTTCCATAACCAATCTTGAGAAATGCAAAAGGATACCCCATCTTCAACCACTTTTAATCTCAAATTAAAAATTGTTTTTCTATTGTCATTTTTATACATTTATTGACATTATTTATGTAAAATATTTAATTTAAATATATTATTGTTGATTTAATTAACTGATAGAAAAGAGTATTTCATATAAAATCTCTTTAAAGAAGAATAATAATAGATATTTTAAAGCTGTAATAGAATCACTTTAAAACCTTTTTATTTGTATTTACATTTTTTCAAGACTATAAAAGCTAAAAATTGTAGTTGAGTCAGAACAACTTGAAATCGATGCTTACTCGGTGGAATGTCAACAGCACGTTGAGGGACCAATAGGACTTAAAGATTATCACGCATGCGTAAGTTACAAACAGTTTCACTCAATCTTCGTTATTCAATTAGTGTTCAGGAATCTTCTTAGAAGGCATGAGAATAAAAATACTGTATGAGACTTAAGAACGTTCAAGAGAACAGCGAAGAACATAAGAAGTAGACCCAGATCCTGTAAGATGGGATATCCTTCTCTAACAGCTCCATCATTGCCACTGCACAGTTTGCAAGAAAACCTATAAATTATTTGATAAAATGTTCACCAGAAATTCCAACGACAGTCTACATGTAAGCAAGTGGTTAAGAAAAAATAATTTGCTAATAATAAATTAAATGCTTTGGCCTACGATATTTAAATTTTAATATTGTATCACATGATATTTTTTTCTTAAATGATAGGTCAAATAAAAAATAGAAAAGGACTAACAAAAAAACTGACTTGTAACATTTTAAAAAAACTCAAGAAAAAAAAGTACATGCTGAAGTTCAAATTTAAAATACAAACCATCACTAAGTTAAAAGCTACTTAGAGTTGAAGAAGAATATTAAAAAACAATACAAGTATGTACTGTTAAAGTTATCAAA